AGAGCTTATCCATTAGGCTAAGATACCGTTGGTATTTGAGAACGGAAAACTATATGCTTTATAGTGTTGGTGACATAACGCCCTCGCTGAAAAAAACTAAAAAGACACCGCTGAGATTCGAACCTACACAATCTAGGTCTCTTTCCCACCAAGCTTAACCGCTCGGCCATTTGATGTGACGACATTGGTTGTGAAAACTTAAGTATATTGCGTAACCACAAGAGTGTAAAAACAAACTCGGCGTGGACAACATGCAACACCGACCACATTGTGACAATTTGTATTTTATAGTCACGATTGAGTGAACTTTGGCTAAAATACTTCAGTAACGTTTCTGAGTGGAAAAGCATTCATCCCTGTGGACATACCGTTTTTTTTTTGGGGGGGGGCAATTGTGGAAATCATGTTTAGACCGAAACCGACTTCCTCTTCAAGGACCTTGATACGACACGGGGCCAAATACGATGAAAGCCCTAATCGTACAGATTATCATTTCGCAGAGAACAGTAATTACGGATAAACACGTCGTAGCATTTGTCTTGAACACAGTCTACGGGAAAAAGGAGCAAGACAAACCTTTCATCGTATAAGCTAACCGAGGAACTTTCTCTTGCTGAATTGATTGTTTTTAATTATTCTCATACTGATGTTTAAGGTCGAGCAAAAGATCTAAACAAAGGAACTAAACCAAAGAAAGAAAGATACCCTACAAGGAAGGGGTCTTCCCCTTGTCTTACCCCACCACCGATGCTCCAAACAAAGACAACTGACAAGCAGTTCTGAATATCCTTGGGAAGCTTCAAGCAGACATCGGAGAAAGTATAGAGTTTCTCATCTGGAGGGGGTGCGTAGCAGGCGTAAACAAACATGTGGTGAACGAAATCCTCGTTGCCCGGCGTCAACACTGGCTCGTACTAAAATGAAATAGTATTTTTAAAAAAAGACCGGCATTTCCAGTAACAAAATGGGACTTGACTATTTCTCCCCTGAAAATGGACAGTCTATCTCCATTTACGTCCCGTCTGTGCAGCTTAACCTATTAAGGGTTACAAAGGGATGCTGTGTGCTTCATGTGAAATTTACAATCAAAAACGGCTACGCCTTTTACAGTGTAGAAATGATGCAGGGACCGAACTGTGGCTGTGCAAAGAGTCAGGGCATTCGCAATAAAAGTCGGATTATTTTGACTAGTGACAGTGGGTCTCATGATAGTTATTGCATCATAGTCACGGCATCGGTTTTGGTTGAGGTAGGGACATTGAGGTTTTGTCTAAAAAGATTCTCGTGTTTTCCCTATCCTGAACAGAATCCTCAACCGAAAATGAATATGGTTGAACCGTTGCCAAAGTTTTGGCACATTCTCCCCCCCCCCGTCCGCCACGGGCCCTTCGAAGACTCTCCATCACACAAGATTTGTTTAGGCATTCATCCGATGAGCAACGACGGCTGGAGGTGTTATCCCTCATTTAGAAGTGAGAGCCAGTATGCATCGCTAAGCCATTTTGAAATTTCCAAAAGCCAAAATGGAGGTCAGCGTGTATGGGTCAAAACCTCGACAGCACAGGTGCAAAATTATTATCAGCGCACGTAATTTTGCAAATGAATAAAAGATGTACATACTGTAGGCCTATTACGAACAGCGCCCTCAATTTGTGTCATCCTCCACCCCTGCCCACTCGCCGATTTAACAGGCCTATACCCAGAGGCGGGAAGATGCCAGAGTGTTGATTTTACATTTCCATCGGGCACGATCCTGAAAAAACTCTTGTACACATGAATGTACTTTACCCCTTCCCTTTATATACATGAATTACGGTACATGTGTACATAGAAAATGGAGGGAATGGATTTCGCTCACCCTGATTATGTGATGTCTTGAATCAACCTTCGGAAATTGCAGGATAGTACACCAATAGAGAGTTTGAGGCTGTCGCAGAGGTCGCACCTACATAAAGTAAACGAAGGAGACAGTGATAAAGACCAATGAAGGTTACTTGAGTGCTAAGCACGGACTGAAAGGACATCATAATTATATTTCATCAATAAAGATATTACAGTGAGGTGTATAAAAAAGTCGATCGCGCGTCAAGAAGGTAGCAGGGTTTCACACTACGACTTCCACATAAGACCGTGCTCGTGGTTCACTGCCCATCACAACCCCTTTCCTATCTATATTCCATATAATCTGCGAGGTTCGAACAGCACGCCCTGGGAACATCAGTTCGCAAATACCAGCGTGAAGGAAGCACCTCTAACTATCTTTGACTTAATAGCCTTTCACTCTGTGACAAATTGACACCACAAAAAACATGAATGAGAAGTGGTGCGATTAAGTGGACCCTTTCAGAAAATTGGTCATAGCTGAATCAACCGTGAACGTATTGATATGATCGAGGTGTCATTTCAAAGAGGAGATTCAAACCTAACAGATGATGCCTCTCTTAGATTCACACGAGCCCAACTTTCTGTTACAATCTGTTACAATTAGCAGTAATATCTGGGTTTCGTTTTTTAGGATCCACCCTGTAGATTGCATTTTGAAATAAAATTACACAGCAAACATAATATTGGAGAACTTTCTTTTAAAAAAGCCATGTACAAAATGCGTATTTAATAGTCACCAAATGGTGAGCAAACATATACATGCGTTTCGTGGAACAAGAGCATTGTGGTAAATGGAGAGTGGGGCGGGAGATTAAGGGCTAATGCCTCCATCACGTTTTGGCCGCAGGACTGGGTCCATTGGATCACTCCCACTATTTGGTAATAGGAAACATTAAATGTTGATTTTAGATATTTTGGATTTTCTTTCCAACAGTCAGAAGTGCAAAATGGCAATGAAAACAAACAGCACAAAACGCTGATTGTTTAATGCAAATTTCAGGTGCAGCATGCAACGTTTACCTAAATCACTTTCTCACAAACAGCAGTCTGGTGCCGTGGTGTCCACCCCCAGCGTTTCGAATTCACATGTGTTACACAGACATAAAGGTGACTACTTAACACCTCAGCATAGGCCCTGCTTGATGCTGACTGAACTATACCTAATTTTTTCACGCACATTTAATATCAACACAGTTCACAATTATAATCACTGGGTTTCATTTGGGCATGTCTAAATCAAACCTCAAATAGAAATATACTCAATTCGCCCGTACTTTGACTCTCGGAACTTACATTTGAATTGAGAAATTCGTGCGTTTTGACGTCAGCAGGCATGTTGAGTTTCTTGGAGTAGTCTTGAGCGAACAGCAGCATGGAGCGCGTGCCGCGGTGAACAGGTCCATGGTAAGACGGTCCGTCTGCGCTGCTCGGGTCGTCTTCGTGATATGACCAGAGCAGACGAGTTGTTCCAGACTACGGTCCAAAATTGGCAAGATGGGGAAAAGGTTGACGGGTAAAACCAGAACACCGCTTTCACAACGACAAATGTACACGTATATTGCAAATGAGGATTAATTTACTGCATTCTAAGAGTTTGTTCCATTGTATATACTAGATTGCACATGTCGAAACATGTCCCCTGTTTCACATACAAAGTGTGGACATTCCTTTGTTCTCCTGCGGTAAAGGAAACTTGAGGAAAATGCTTCTTCTTCTCTATCTAGGACAACTCCTTCGAGCTGGATTTTTGATGATTTCTTGGACTGTTCCTCTTCATTTTGCCACAGATAAACTAGACCCCAAAATGCCTCTGAAACTGTTTTTCAGAGAGGGGGGACATTGTATTGACGTGTAGGAGTCCACACTACGCCATTGCACCCTACATTATGTGGGCTTCCACGGGGTTTGAATGCTATGTATGAACACAACCACGAGAGCGCTCCTTTCTGCTGAAGTGACAGCACGCGGATGCTGCACTGGCTCGGAAGCATTTTTTTTTTTCTATTTTAAATTTTTTTGTTACACAAATGTCAAATGATACCCACGTACTTTCGTATAGGAATATGGCTCTTGAAACGTGACTAGTCTTAAAAATCTCGAGAAAGTTTCCCCTGTTGAGATGCCTGATTGTTAAATGGCGCGATAATAGCCTTAATTCAAGTCGGGTTACCCAGCGTGCTGCGTAACAAAAATGCCGCCCGGAAAGAGGTCACGCGGATGCAGTACTGCCCCGTCAATCGTGTATTGCTCAATTACGCGTTGTCTTTAATCGAGACATGCTACGGGTAAAAACCTGTACTGTTAAGCTACACAAAGGGTTGATCTATACTCTTCTTGTTTTCATGAAGCTAGGATAAAAATGCTGCCCTTTGCCATGCCGAGGAAGTCCCTTCTTGACTGGCATGAGTTGATGTCCCTTTATATTTTGTCGTCAAGCAAAACAGTGCGTTTTGTGTTCTGTGATGCATCGTTCCCGAAGCTGTTGTCATCCACAACTTCTATTATGTGAAAAGGTGTTTGGTGGCATTGATTGGTATTGTGCCTGAATGAGGCTGCAGCATTAGTTTTCACGTGCGAACAATGGATATTATCAATGCACCGACGACACTTCCTGTCCCACGATCTCACATTTAGGTGAATATGAAAGCACCAAACTACGTCGAAAAAATCATTCAATGATTTCCCCTTCGTAGAATACATGTTATTTCAGTCAAGTGAAGTATCCGGGGGGGAGGTCACGGGATTATGTTGGTATTTAAAGAACACGGGCTGTTACACTTGGTGCTTAAAGTTTTAACCTTTTCTTAACACACAAGTACCCAGTTTTTAACACATCTTGACGAGGATATTGTAAGATTATTTATATGAATGCATAAACATGATAGTTTCAAAAAGTGGATATACAAAATGTGGAGTATGGATGCGGAGGTTCTCCTAGGAGAAATGTTGGCATTTTTTAGCACGGGCTGATACATTGTTTGTAAACAGACGGGTGCCTAGAGTGTAGCACATTTCTTAGCACTTCTGGTGTCCATTTTTATCACGTTTTACCCACAATATGTTCAGATTACTTACACTAGATATAATTAACATGTCGTGGCTTAAAAGTGGGTAGGCCCTACCGGTACAAAAAGTGTTTAAATTCGTTTTTGCAACTTAGATTCGGATTCTGAGGCTATTGGCGACCAAGACCAGTCTTCCTAAAGATGTGAATGGTCTGAATGGAAACTCTATCCTTGCATTTTTTTTGGGGGGGGGGCGAATTGACTGGTAGGCGTTGAGGGTTAATGAAGCACAGTACTCGTTTCGTGTTCTGATTCCATAGCTATTATTCGCACCTTAAGAACCATATCCTGACAATCAGATGTGTTGAGTTTTCTCCTAAAGACCAGTGTGGTGTGCTGGTTCGCTTCCTCACCGCTCAGCAACTCGTAGTCCTGATGATTGTCCTTCTGTGGCTGCTCGTTTGCTCTAGCAAAGCGATCCTATTCATGAAGATTTTAAAAAAATAAAAAAAATGCATCACTCTTATAAAACATAGCCACCGCAGTGCACCAGTTCGACAATAAATTAATTTTAAAAAGGGTAATCTAATATGGGCGATTCACAATAGTGCATCTCCAAGTGTTTGCAACGCATTGGCCAATCACGATTCGCGAAATCTGTCGACCCAATGTGCGCGTTTGGAAAGGGTTGACAGATTTCGTGCGTTGTGATTGGCCAACGCGTTGCAAACTCTTCGAGGCAAACTATTGTGAATCGTCCGTATTGAACGGACACAGATGATGTCCTTACGGTATATTTTCACTGGCAAATATAAGGAATATAAATATACCTGAATCGAATAACAAAGGCGGTAGAAAAGCAAAGAAGGACCAGAAGTACATTTTATTCATTTATTTATATATTTAACCATCTTTAGAGGGTAGCCCATCCAGCTATAGCTGATCATTTGGGGCCGTCAAAAATCATACACCTTTAAATAAAAAATACAATCACATCAAATTTATTGCAACAGCGAAAAATATTACAGGAAATTTTCGAGGGGTACATTTTTAGGGGGGCCGAAAATTTGAGAATTTATTTAGGTGAACTATCGTGGCTTTCAAAAAGTGGTGCATTAGGCTAAATGCTGGGGCTTTTTCGCGTTTTGGGAGGGGGAGGAAATGATAGTCTCCCGAAAACACCCCTCCCATATATGCTATTTTAAAAACGTGCCCCGTTGAGGGGCAACTCCAAATGCTTGCACCAGTCGGCTTTAATAAGTAAATATCAGTGTGATACATGGAGTGATACATGGAGCGATACAAGGAGTGAATTGTAAATTTAAACGACTGGGTAATAGTCGGATATGGCACAATTCAAAACATAATGTCGAATGAAGGCCTTCTGTTTACCTCAAAACCACTTTTGGCTTTTTTAAAATTTGATTATGGTTTATCCATAGATCACTTTGAGTCATGTCCTAGTTGATGGAAATATCTTTTTTGTTTCATTTTAAGCAATTCAAATGAAGTGGATAAAAGTATTATAGTGGAAAATGCGGACACATTAAGCAAAAACTAGAATTGCGACCTGAAAAAAAATGGAAAAGTTGCTGCCAGTTTGTTGTCGTTATTCTTACCGTCAAGTAGGCTTCTCCATCCTGTACCCAACCGATGACCAAGTCTGCTCCCTTCATGCCACCGCTTGGAGAGAAGCCCAGGCCGACCCAGCCTAACGTCTTGGCTCTTACCCTGAACACCACGTCCTCCACGGTGTAGCTCCACTCCAGAACGTAGCTATCGTTCTCCGCCAGAGCTAAGCGGCGCGCATAGGACTCAGGTTCGCCTTGCTGTTTACCGTCGGCAGTCGTTTTCGACGCCAGTTTTTGGCAGTGGCATAGTACGAAAACTCCCGATGCCAAATAAGTAAGGAAACGTTTAACATACATGGCTGGAGGATTACTGACGGCCTCCAAAATGGGTTTTAAAAATCACGGGATTTGACAGCTGAATCCACAATTTCGATGAAAATAAAGTTGACATCCACCCCGATTTCAACCGAGCAATAGCAGAAGAGGAATAATCTGGAATACTGGTAGCTCATAATGTACACACGTCCGGCATGAAAAATCATTGAAGTTGTTGAAAAAATGCAAATACGGTATACAAATATGCATTAGGTATACAGCTCCAATAATCAATAAACAATCACCCGAAGTAACGTTTTCTAATTGGACATCTGCATGATACATTGCCAGTACGTGGAAAATGTGCGAACCAAAACAGACAATACAGCGGTCCATCCACCTAAACTGAATGTGTGTTAGTTTCGACACCCACTACTCCTGGGTTTTACGCGGCATGTCACTTGTAAACGAAGTCTATATTTCACGCTTGAACACTTTGGTACACTGAGCACCATATGTACTTGCTGCGGTCAGTGTGAAACGCTTCTAGTTGTTTTCTTAGAACGAGGTGAACCTTTACAATAATGGTCACTAAAAGAAAAGGTGACCTCAAAGGTTTGGCCATCAGTTCTCCATTTGAAATCACACAGAATAAAAACAATTGATTGTATTTTGAAATTTAATTTGAAGAAATCTTAATTTGAGCTGACAACTTGAATAGATGCTGCTGCTAAACGCTTTGTCGAAAAAGAAAGAATGCGCTTGATGCAACGTTGGAGGAAAGAGATGAGAAAATGTGGTTTGAAGGCTTAAAGTTATACTCAATTAACATTATTCTACCTGAAACAAATCCTGAGTCTTTTTACAATGATGTATTCTTAAAGGCACATCAATATTCATCAAAAAAGATGAAGTCATTGAGCGGCTTTGGTATTCAGGCAGCACACCTCAAGAAAGTGCACGAGAGGTCGGTCCATAGTGCGGCCGTATGCCGACTATAATGGGCGTTACGACCAACGATACAGATTGAAACTTGCGTGGCATTAAGTACTCTACATTCTCTAAAAACCTTGCTCTTGTAAAATAATACCGAAGTGTTTTATTCAATTGTTCCTGGGGAGAATCAGTCGTTTCCAATACGGTTTGACTCAGCCTTGGTTTATGAAGCACATGAGGATAGTAACAAGATGAGTGGATTTACTTTTCAAAAAGACTTAAACGAATACAATTTTCCATTGTACAGAAAGATAACAATACCTTTATTCAGCTTTATAAACGCAAAACATACTGCGAAGAAATATGTTTGTCATGTGCCTAATTCGGGGTTATTTAATTTGAATGTTATAATTTATTTGTAAGTAACATAGAACATTTCCGGCCAGCTTCTATGCGGTTTGATGACACGTTATTTCAGTAATATTTCCAGATTGTGTGATACCGATAAAAAGAGATGTACAGTCTGTTATTCAAACAGTTATTCAGAGGGAATGAAGAAAGGATTCAGTAGTGAGGATTCGTATTATATGTTTATTGCGCTGAAAAGTTAATTAATAGTCCAATCAATGCGAGAGACTGATGCATTTCCTATAAAATCACGTCCGCGTCTCAGTTTTAAATCAAGCCATTTAAAAAAGTTTAAGGCGCAACCACTGAGTGTTCTATAACTTGTTTTAGAATTCATTGAACGACCATCATTCAACGTGTACTAAATTCATTCAGCCAAATATATTTAGCAGTCGGAATGAATTACTGTACTGTGAAAAAAATGTAGTGACCGACTAAATAATGTCGATTTCACTACATACAAGTACCCTCTTGCTTCCACACGTTCAGGTTACTGACTTGTTCAAAAGTTGGTGTTTTTATTTAAGATGGTGTGGTAAAGTAAAGAAATTAAAAGCTCACTGAAAAAGATAAATAAATTATGTTAAGCGTGGTACAACATTGATCCAGGAGTAGACGAGCTGTGAACAAAAGGCTGGCTCGTGAACCAGTCGTCGTCTCTGGCAGGCACGATCATCGCCGATCGCTCCTCTGTCTGTCTCGGCACTCCGCAGGCGCTGGACGTGTACTGGTGTCGGGCTGTCTGATGCAAGCAGCCCCCGGCCAGTCCACCGGCAGTCGGGTTGTAGTATTCGGCGCTAACACTGGGCATGTAAGAAAAGCCCGGCGGTGTCGGCGGGTAGAGGGTATGCATCACCCCACTGTAGGAGGACGTGGACCCGCCAGGCTGCAGCGCAGTGACGGCTGGGAGAATCTGCTTGGATAGCTGCCGCTGTCGCTTGCGGAATTTAGCTCGGCGGTTCTGGAACCAGACCTGTTGTGGCATAAAATCGCACAGATCTTACAACTAATGACAACTGCCTGTGTGTGTCGAACGACCCCACTCGTGTATTTTATTGTAGAATAAACACGAAGCCTTTTGTAGGCCTACATTAAAACAATTGACTGAGCAAGATTTCGCCTATATTATTATTGTAGACTGTAGTTGCCCAAACTGATACTGTTGTGGAATTACCAACTTTGGGGGAGAATTTCATTTGATACTATGTTAACCAATGCACTACGAAAGAGATTGAAAAAAAGTGTCCGATTTTTCTCCAGGGTGTAAAATTAATGTGAATAGGCAATACCCTAGTTGCTTATCTAAAACTAAATCTTCTTTATGTGTGGCACACGCACACTGTCAAGAGGGTAAGTAAGCAAAGTAATGGTTAAACCAAACAATGATAAATGCCAATAAAATATCTTAAACAACTCATGACAAAGACAACATCGAAGGAGGTAATACGAAAACCGGGTACATTTCCAACCATGAAACCATGGTTGGTGTGCGTCTGTGAACTATTTATTTTTTTTAAAGCCCAGATACTGGGCCAGGTCAACACTTGTACATGTACCAAATTTGAATAAACATTCCCAATAGACAGAAAACTTCAAGTCTGTGATTTCGAGAAATTTAGGCTGAAATCAAGTGAAATGCATCTGATAACATTTGCTTGCAAGTTTCAGCCAACAAAATCCTTGAAAATCGGCAGCTACGATCATGCTGGTGGGCGGAAAGGGGCGATTTTTGAATTATCGGCCAGTCTGTGTAATCCTATTAGCCGGTCGTTAGGGAGGTGATCAGCAAGCCATTTGGCTGCTATTCAGACATCTTCAGAAGTGAATGCGCAGAACCGAGTTCATTAGGAGACAGGCAAATCTAGGGAGATGTCTAAGCAGGGACACCAGCTGGGGGAATCGGCACAATTAGTAGTGCGTACCGGTGCTTGATGCATTGATGGCCTTGTCTCGTTAGCGGGGCCACGCAGATAACACTGATTTGTCCGCATCTTATTCTCACTGCAACGGGGTTGGCCCAGAAATCAAAGGGGGAGAGAGGCCAACGTGTATAATTTTTTTGTTTGTCTTAATACAGGGATTTTACATTAGCTCCATCTGCGCATATCCGCATCGAAACCGAGGCTCTCTGTGTTAAACTTTTTCGAGCGAGCCTGCGGAGTCGACACAGTACATGCAGTATCCGGTTCTTAAGTGTGGCACACTTCAGTTTAAACCACGCCCACTGCACAAGATACACGACCATCGCAGGTACGTTAATTCGCGGTAAACTGCCGTTATTTTTCTTTTGATTTTACGTGTTGAGTCATCCTGAAAGACTCTTCCACAAAAGTTGATGCCTGGAAAGTGGTCTGATCGTACTAAGAATTGAAGCTAACACATACGGCCTCGTTTTCAAACGCGGAAATGCGCAGATCGACGCTAAAAGTGTCGTATTGGGATCCCTCTATTATGATTTAACTAAAGCTCCGGAAGGAATAGGGTAAAACTCAATCGACTACGCACACGCGTTGGTCGCTTCAACTTGAGCATGTACTTCTGGGGACTACGCCCATCGGCAGCATGTGTCTGTGGGGGTGCTGAGCATGAGACATCATGCCACGTTCTGTTATATGAGTGCCCTGCTCTCCTGCCCATGGCAGAATAGCTGACCTCTCCAACCCAACTAATTCCTTTAAAAAACTAGCTGAAGCAAACAGAAGGAATTGCCTGATTAGCTGCTACTGTACTTTAACGAAAGAAAAAAGAAGAACCAAAGCTCCACGATTTAACATGGAATATCTGACATTTTGGATTGGAGTCAGTTTATGAAACAATGGGCGACAGAATTCTTGCTGCTCTCTCCTGAAATTTATTGTCAAGTGAAAGTGACCGCTTCACCATGCATACAGGCATAAATGAAGCAACCATTATGAGTTAACTTTCAGGTATTATTGTGAGCAAAGCTATGATAACTTAATTACTTAGGTACGTTTTTATTTAATCTGTTCAACTAAGTGCTCAAGCTTTCGATCTCTGCATGATAGGAGACCAGCAAAAGTAAAAAAAAAAAGCCCAAAACATATTGTTAACAATTATATTGTTGTCAATTGATGACTCTTGGTTTTCAAGGGGAAATTAATAGTCGAGAGCCATAAATTTTCAAAACAATAACATATTTTTTCCCAACCTAAGGATAGATCCTCTCCCTGAGTGCATTCATTTATAAAGTTCTCACACCCTTCTAATAACCTCCACGAGTGAGGCCTAGTTATGTTTCTAGGACTTTCCGTTTCTTTTAGCTTCTTTGAAGGCCATTTTTTAGCATTGTGGTTATGACAATAAATGTCTTAAATTGTTGTGCACATAATGTAGAATCATGATACCTTCGAAACAATGCGATTCCGATATTTTAGAGGTACTGTTGGGCCCAATCTGGTCCAATGGTGGAATGTTAGAGATACGGGAAAACTTATGGCTTTATCTTCAAATATACGTTCGTTCTTTCTCTGTGGCATTAGCTGTTGGTACCGCGGATTTGTGTCCGGATTGCACCATAGATCATCTTCACCGTTTTGAATTTCACAATTTTTTGAAGAAGCAGTTTGAACCAACAATGACATTAAAACAGTGAATTTTATCATTGAGTTCCAAACTGGAACTCACTGAAAAGACAAAAACTAAGAAAAGGGTGAATATGAAGAAAATAAAGAAAGCGCAAGCTGGTGAAACAAGAAAAGACAACATTCAGATTAGACATAATTTCAAATTTCAGAGAGGCTCGTTGAGCCTGTTCACGGTTTTCAACATCCTTCACTGAGCCCATGCTCTTGAATATCGGTTTTGATTGGTTCAACACTTTTAAAGCGAGAAATAATTTGTAGAAATCCATACATTATGGTCCAATGTGAAGACCTTAGACTTGCCTGAATTCGAGCTTCGTTCAATCGGATCTCCCTGGCGAGCTCCTCACGTCCGTAAATGTCGGGATAGTGATTCTTCTCGAAGGAAGCCTCCAGTGCACGCAGCTGCTCGTGCGTAAAGGTGGTACGGTGGCGGCGCCGGGGTCCGCTCGGAGGACCGTCACGGTGATCTTGGCCCTGGCAAGAGCTCTGATGACCGCCGTCTGTCCCACCTTTGGCGCAAGGCTCGGCGCTGTGTTGGATGCCAGGCCGACAGGATTCGTTTGAGTGCTCTGTCTCTGACGAACAGCTATCGTCGACATGGGGACGTATTGTGGCTGCACATAAGGTGAGATAGTTTTATTGGTTGTATCCATTATAACGATGTATCTTAATGTTGAAAGAAAAGGTCGTAAATAGCTGGGTTGGGGTATTCCCTGCCATTTCGATCATCCCTACTTTTCGGTGTTATATAAATTGATTTAAATACTTAACTTTCCAACAGCCAGGATTCACAAAATAGCACAAAATGGAAAAGGCAAGCAAACAGGACACAAAAAATTTCAATGTAACATTTGCATCGGAGGTTAATTTAATAAGACACTTAATTAGGAAATTATACAAAAGGTATATCTTTTATCGTGAAGTTTATCAACGCCCTTAGTGTAATGTGGTGTGTCCCCCCTTCCCGCTTTTCAAATTTCCACGACCAGACAACTTTAAATTTTGTCATCTCTCATCCTGCCTCTCGTCGGCAGGGATTTATGTCATTGATTCCAGGCAATACAGGTTGGAAGATATGGGCATTCCCTTTTACTGGAGTCGCCGCCTTTTCCGATGAAAAACTCTTGAAAATTCTTTCTCAGAACCGACAACAAAGTTAGATTTTTTTGTAAGACGCAAAGTAGGTACATGCTTCAATATGTCTTTGCAAGATTTTTGTCTGGTAGGATAAATTAGGCACTGTAAACATAACATCAAACACTGCATCTAATTGCCTTTTGCGAGTTAACTTTGACCCAAATCTTGTACACTGGGTATTTTAAATTGACGTGAACACCACAACCTGAATTCTCCTTACTAAAACCACTGTTGCTATACCTCGTGATTCGGGGCAAGCTTTTGCTTAGTTACGGTACATAAAAGACGCCTTGCAACAATACACTGTTCTCCATGGATAAAAAGTGCCCAAAGGAACCAGTCCATTTCAGAGATGGTGGTCGCTACGCGAAAGTTTGCCCCGAATCACGAGGTATAGCAACAGTGCCTTTAGTCTGGGGAATTCAATTCGTTATGTTCCGTGGTTTATGTGCAGTCAGATAACTTAGTGCACTGGATTTTATTCAAATTTAACTCGCAAATGGCTAATTGCGAAAGACTGACGGTGCCTCAGGTGGACCCTGCACCCCGGGCAGGCCTGTGATGAACTTCTTAAGTAAATTTAAACTGCCGTAAAAGGCTTGAACGCGACACTGACGGCACATTACAAAATAATCTGCATTCAAAGTATTACCACCATGTATCCAGTCCGGCCCATTAACTTCAACTGTTCAGCCTCCCAATCACTTTTCCGAATTTTCATATTTAATGGCCGATAGCTTTCAGACGAATTCCGGTACCATCTTCCTTTGTATGGGTTTTTTTTGGCTTTGATACGTAAATTTGTACCCAGGCCTCGTTTGTCTATTTGTGTCAGGCACAAGGCACAATAAATTACTCGGCCTAGCAACAACAACGACAAAAATAATACTCACCGTCATTTCTGAATTCACCAGACAGGTACAAGTGTGCAGTGGGACCATAAATGGCGCCGTATTCTTTGAATTTTGGTGTTTGGTTGGTACCCGCCTGCTGCCCATAGTCGGTAGACATCGTGTTTATCACGAATGGAATTCGGTCTCTCCGAGTGAAGGGCAACCCAAAATCACGGTCAAACCAAAAGATCCCTATTTTCTTTGGTGGTGTGAGTTGAAGCCACGGAAATTCAACTTTGAGAAGTATGAATTCGGAATGTTAACACTCATGTTTTTATACATAGCTGCAAGGTACAACTTGTTTGCCTTCGGCCAATGGGATCTTTTCCGTAAGAAATACAGCCAAAATGACCGCCTATGTCGATCAACTCGTAATTTCATTAGGACAGGAACGAGCGCAGCAAGTCAACGCGCTGATGAGCGGGGGAGGATGAGGGAATCTGGCTGTCAATTAAGAGGCGGCTGGACCCATCGATTTAAACTTCCAGACAAGCGCGGATTTAAAAGACTGAACAAGAGCATGTGTGCCCATAGAGACCCAGGGGAGAACTGATCTCATTACGTCTTATATTCGAGGCCGCCCCACAAATGGGCTTGCCTTCCGAGTTGGGCGTACACCGCAAAGGGACAGACGCAGAGCATCCAGCGGTAGATAACGAAACGTTTCCCCCTCTACGTGCCCAGCATGAGAAGAGAACGAGGTCTCTCAAGATAGGGAATGATTGCTCAGTCAAAAAAAGATAAGCAAGGAAGCAATAGTAACTGGGATCTGATGTAAAATCTACATTTTGTCATATGTAGGTTATGTGTTTGTCTTTGTTTTTGCCATCAGCCAGACGTTCAGTTCATTGGTTCAAGCATGCACGATATATCCTCTCCCGCTATATTTTAATGGTCCCTTATCGTCTCTGAACTGCTAGGAAGTTCTTCGTCGATTTCAGACTCAGGGCACAGTACAGCATTTGGTTAGCCTTTCGCGAACTTTTACACTTAAACGAGCATCGATAATTTTCCCTTCCACCTTGTCCAAGCACCTCAGCAAGGAATGTTCGGCATAATAACAAGGGCACCAGGCAAACTGTCCCCTGTGGGGACCCCCCGCGGAGCCTGGTTACGTAAACAAGGGAGGGGGGGTCAACTTAGCAACTACCCTAAAGCTCTTGCCCCCGCCCCTAAAGAGCCTGGCTGCGCCCGCCATTGCAGTCAGTGCGCATAGGTCACGCGCTCGCTGAAGTGTTATCCCGAATGAGCCAGTTCATATTTCAAAAAGCCAAGGTCTTTCGGGAACAAAGCTGGCGCGCACGAAGTGGCGTATGACCGCGCTGATAGGACAGACTATCGCGCGCGCGTAGCTGTTCCTGGAATAGCTTCGTAGGCCTACTAGCCTGGGCACGCGTCGTTGGAATACCAAACTGGCTCACCAATGAGCCCTCGGGAAACACAACGCATCCTGGTGACTATAGTTGCCTTTGGCAGAGGAGCCAAAAATCAAAGGGAATGAGCATGGGGTTTCTTGCTTTAGCCCAGTTGACATACGCATGGGAACTGATATTATGCTGGCTTCAGTATAGCGCGGTATCTCCCTGTCTGCTGTTGTGAATCATTTCATAATTTGAAAATAAACATGCACACTTTTTACTCGCAAATTAATCATGACAAGATATTTTGAAATGCTATTTCAATATATAAATATTAATAATTGGACCACTCCGTTTTACAGTGCATATGTACAACACTGGTCAAATACGGTTTCAGTGTGATCAACACGCACAGTTCACACACATGAACCTGTTTGGGAGTTTGTCATGGTGCAACACCTTCGGGTATGTTTCCGGAAAGGAGGCTCTCACGATCTGGAAAAACACTGCAAGTGTTGCGCCATGAGGATTAAAATATCAAGCAGTTCTCTCCCGCGTCTCGAATACTAGCAGACATCTCGTGAGCATCGTTTTCCACGAGGGGCCGGAGGGGCGTTTTGCGATTTTAACGAAGAAAAAGGTGTAAACACTATCATCCAAAGACGTCAGCTTCTCAATAATGGAAGCACCATTTACACGTGTGCATGGCTGCAGGCATGGACACATGACAAATGAAATGGAGAGAAAATCTAAAAATCTGTTATGATTTTTAATTAAGTAGTTTTAAAAATCATTGAACAGCATAGAAGTCTGACAATCACGTGAATTGCTGATTGGCCAATCAATGACACGCATCTTATGCTGTTCTTGATATAACAGCGCCATTTTACTCATTGTTCAATCTGAAATTTTGGAGTAAATATAAATTTCAAAATGTTTAACTATAGACTTTCCAGGATTAGGTCATCCTTTCCCTGATGTTCAGTATGGTGTCGAGTGTATCCATGATTGAAGCCGCGCTTATGTTCAACGCAGCTTATGTACCGGCTTACAGGTACATGACATTACTTCATGTGATCACCCTGAAATAAATCTTCAGTAAATTATTTATGCTTTGCCTTGCCTGTAGTCGCACCATTTGTGGCATTTACATAAAGGAAATCTGGATGAGCAATAATGGCAAGAATTTACGACCTGACAATCACTTTGAAAGTGAAAAAAAGGGAACCTTAAAACTCCAAGGGAAAATGAAAAAACACCGAAGAGGAGACAGAGTGACAGAAAAAAATACCGAGTTCAAATATGGCGCTCAATACAAGGCACTTAAATAGGTATTTCCCTGCAAGTGCTACATTACTACATGATTGTATTAAGTTAACAAGGAATGCATTCAAATCGGAATTTTGTGATCAAAAAGAAAGATAAAAACACACATGAAAATCCTGGATGCCAATTTAAGACACCGTGGAAGACATAATAATGGGATAAAGATGAGCCCTGATAAGGTAAGTGGCTCCAGACTTTTAAAGAAAAAACAAATTGATGGTGTAAGGAAGCCCATCTCTACAAGAGAAAAATCCCAATACCCAAAATGAAACAAAACAATTTGATTCCTGTGACCAAAGGAAAGTTTTGATAACTACTCCGGCATTGCTTCATTTGATTTCCTTGACGGCAACTGAAAACACACTATGAAATACGACTTCTTTATTTCAGTGCTACCAGTGTTCGTAAAGTATTCCTCGTTGGATTTGAAATGTCAGCGGACATACCTGACTGGCCTGCAATACATTGTAGAGGCTCAGTATGGCTGCTAATCTAACCACTATCAGTGGGTTGCGCAGAACCAGGTCAGATTTGAAACCTGAGATATAGTTACATTTTACTGCCAACTAAACTCAGAGAAATCTATCTCACCTTATTGAAAAAAAATCTACTTAAGGCACTTTATGTATCCCTTGCTGTAGGAACACAAAAAAAGGGAAAAAAGTAAAGCAATGTTGATATCTGCAGTGCAGATATGTTGCAACTGATATGCACTACTGTCTACAGGTTCTGTGACTGATTAATCCAAGAGAGATTTCTGTTGACACAAGAGTATTGCTCCTGTAAGGCATCTAGTGGGACATCAGGCAATGTGTCCCAGGAGACTGATGCAGGTGTGTTCACACAAACACATTATAGTTTGTTCCTAATATGATCCCTAGTTGCCCAGGAACTGCTTATAAGGGTACAAGGACAAGAAAATCTAAAAACAAGTTAAAGGAAAAATCTTGCAAGCACCATTCTGGAGGAAGACAATTGGAACTCTGACCACATTGGCCTGTAGCATGTTTTTAAGCAGTCCTCTGACTTTTGGCATATTCTGGGTAATCGATGTACCCATCCCGATTGCGGTCCTCGTTTTGCAGGATGGGGTCCAGCAGGGACATGAGCTCCTCCTCCCCCATGACCTTGCTGCTTCGGTCGCTGTCCTGGTAGTGGGTGATGGCCTGTATCAACTCCGTGCCGTCCAGCATGTTGTTGCTGTCGTAGTCGTGCAGCTTGAAGTAGTGCAACTGCAGCTCCTCCTTGGTCATCTCGCTCTCGGGCTTGTCGATCACGCCGTCCAGGTGCTCCATGATGTGGCTGGTGATTCAACAAGGGAAGTACAGCAATCGCAATTGTATGTAAGCACTGGGCGGCACTGTAGTTCAGTCAAGTGGCGTTATGATGGGGGAGAGGGAGGGGTCACACCTTGTATGCCCCCTCTTCCCAAGCGAGCCAGTGTTCACGTACCTCCCCAATTTGACATCGAGAAATGAACAAAACAAATGCCAGTCGCAGTTCATTTTCTTTCAATTCCAACCCCCCCCCCGAAATTTCACTGGTTGAGTAATCCATGAGTTCTAGTTTTTCAGAAGTATTTTTCATGACACACACATGCTTTTCTCATCACAAAAACTGTTACCAGTACCTTCTCTGTTAACAGCGGCTGAACAATAACAGATGAATGTTAGTGACAGTTCATAAAAAGGATTGGGGTCCATGTGACCGACACACTTGTGTAGACCTGTGAAAACTTATTGAGCAACTGTACTTTTGAGCTTTTGAATTGAAACTTGAGTACACAAGTACCCCTTCATCGTGAGACAATTTAAATGGAACACCACTGCCACCGTGCACCCAATGCCCCTTGGGAAGCCTGCACAGATCGTTGCACTTACCAATGAGGACTGCCATTCTGCACTAAACGAATGTGAACAGGTCTGCACGAGGTGAGTGGGCCCATAGAGCCTAAGGTACATGTAGTTGTGGTACACGCAGATCCCTCCAATTGTTTTTAAATTAAACGGCAATGACATACTGTACATGTAAATGTCTGAAATAACTAACTGATCATAGTCAGAGATTATGACTCATGACAGACTTATGACATCTCCGAAATTACTGGGCTGCAGCTTGAAATTACATAGGAGTCTATGACAGTGGCTGCAGCTGCACAGCTCGTCATGTGTCATTTCAAGCCACGGCTGAGCAATTCGGACATGACCTTACCCTTTGTCCTGGGTGTGAACTTTTATGATGTTCGGATTGCCTCCCTGGTTCATCTGGTGGACCTGGGGATTAGGCTGGCCGGACGGTTGGCCCATGTGCACCTGTGAGCCCTGTGACTGACCAGCCTGTACTGGTACTGCCTGTTGATGTTGCTGCTGGCCAGCCTGGTTAGGTGTCCCTTGGCCGTGTACAATAATGCTGACGTGCAGGCCCAGGAAAACGACACTCAAGATATTGGCTTTCATACTGAATGATGCACAGTGCTGTTTTTAATGCCAGGAGATAAGCACCTGGATGGAAAAAATGATAAGTTGATAAACTTACACAAATTGGAAACAAAAGAAAGTTTGGAGTAATGTGTAGTGTGAATCATAATATGGATGAAGGCAATGGAAATGGAAAGCTCCTTCTGTAACTCCACTAGGACTGTGCCAATTATTAAAACGTTCAAGTATCCAAGTAATATCAAGTATTGATTATATTGATTAATCGACAATTTATTCCTGAAATTGAGTAGGACAGATTTCCAGAAAAGGGCATCACTTGACATGACATCCTGGCGCAAATCCTAGGAGACTGATCTGAAAATTGTATTTTCAAAGTGAATGCATATTTCCCTGCTAAATTAGACTGTTTAGGACGTTGTTTTATGATGGCTGATATACCACTGCATATGAAGCAAGATATGAGATGGAGAGAACCCCCCCTGCTTTGTGTTGGTCATTGCTTGATTGGAATCTGAGGAATTCCTTTCTAGGGGGGATGTGTTAGATAACAATAGTCTAGAGTGTGTATAGGGATAGGACATGTTGGGGGGGTACCCCTCGGTCTCATTTCTTCTGGATATATACCACTGTGGGGCAAAATGAAGTTCTTGCATTTATGCAGTCAAGTCCGGCATGGTCAGATATTAACAAAACTCTCTGGCCTGACCCTCCCCCAGGAAAAATTCCTTGATCCACCCCCGCAAGAGTGGCCAGCTGGTCCCAAATACGTGCCTCCATGTGGCAGAACGATATAAGAAAGGGTTCATCCGGCAAGTCCGGGAAGCATAGGGCAAGTTTGGGCGCAGACTATATTTCAACCAGTAGTCAACTGCTTTTGAAGAATGCGCATGTGCATTTCAGTTACACTCGAGCAAGACCAGTCTGTCTATTTTTTAAAATCTTGTTGTTGCTTATATCACTATTGGCCACGATTCTTGCAGTGTAACGTCCGCGTTGGTGACATGAAAATAAAAGTGTGAGATTTCAATGACCATGCAGGCCTAAATGTACCGATCTCGACTGTCAAACTGTATGTACTCACTTAGTTGCTAGGTCCCTTATTTCGCCACTTACTGTGAAAACCAATCTGACTGGACAATACTGTAGGTGGCGAAATTAGGGACCTAGCAACTGTACGGTCTGACGGTCACGGACGTTACAAGTAGGCCTACGTGATCATCGAAGTCTTGTACTAAAATTTTCATATGATTGGTTCCCAACTTCCCTCCATGATGATAAATACAATTGGCTATTGATAACCAGTGCAGTGGTGCGACGTACCTTGCCCTGGAGCTAGTCTGAGTAACTCGGACTCTACAAATCACCTTTTTTAACATTTGGACGTGGTAGGGCGATAGTACTTAGTACAGTCCAAGTTACTCAGCCTACGACTAGCGCGGCACGGTCCCAAATGGTCGACTAGATATTCCAAACCATTCATCGCGTCATTCAGGCATCATCAGTCGAACTAACTAACTGGGCCTAGTATAAAAGCCTACAGTATCGTATCTGGACGTCACTCAAACATCATTTCCAGGGGATTGTATATTTTGGGACCCCATTTTTTTGTCATTTTAATCTTGCAAAATGGGTAAGTCCCCCCAGAGAACAAAGGCATCACTCTCTTTATTGCACTGACCCTATTGTTTTGGCAATTTCAAATTTGAAATTGTGAGAAAATGCGACTTTCTATACTGGTACTGATAAACTACGTGTAGCCATGCCATGCAAATTTGAATCCACCATGTGTCATGTGTAAAGACACTCAAGTTTCCCCTCATTATTTCTGTTAAAACACAAAACACTGCCTTTTCTTGACAACACCAAACCGACAGTTATTGAGCATGATATCACAGTCGTCTACCAAGCTGAATTCAAAAGATAGAAATCACTTCACAACTCTCTCTTCTATAGGAACAGGGTCCCCAAAATTACCACCCCCCCCCCATTTCCATCTATTATTAATACGTGCTAACATTTTTTATTCAGATCAAACAGTACTTACATCAATCAAGACCCTCCTAAATATGCCAATAATGACCATTCACCCTGGAAAAATGCTTCAAATTAAAACATGTTGATCAAAATATTCACAAAAGGACCATATGGTGATTCACGCGTACACACGTAATGTGCAAGTTGTAACTTCACGTCGTAATAGCAGACCAAGTGAGGGCGCTCTAATAATTTCTCGACCTAGGCCATCGCGGACGGGTCACCAGCATCGGCGCAGCGCCTAGTGGTCACCCAGAGCTGTCCGGTCCGATTCCTCGACGAATCGCGATCCGTTATTGCCTTTGATGTGAGACTGTGCATATGACTCATCAACATGATCAACGAAAACCTAAGTTGGAACGAGTTCCATATAGCATACGGACGCCAGTAATTATTCCCTAGTGACTTATTACTGCTGTCAGAAAGCGAAAACATGTCCAGAAAAGTTCAATTTAGGAGGAAAAAAGTCGTTTACTTGCACAGTAGGGGCTACCGGTGCACAGGGTGTCAAGTGGCGTCCGTATATGGAACTCTTTCCCTAACACGCCGTGGAGGCTGATGCCTGGCCCTTGATCGAGCTCTAGTACTCAGTACTAGTAGTACTAAGTGGAGCGTTAGTATTCCTCTTTTTCGTTTTTGGACGGGTGTTGGTATTGCTGTTGTTTTTTGGACGGAATTGACCGATCCAAATAGAACAAGAGGTATACTAACGCTCCACTTAGTAGACAGAGCTAGGCCAAGGTATACTACCAGAGTATGAGTCACACGGAGTGTGATTCACTGTTCTGGAAGTACAGCATATGTGACCGTATAGTCCCGGGCCAGGTAGCCAGGTCCCTAATTTCACCACCCAGGCCTACTGTCAAGTCTGATTGGTTACCACAGTATGCAGCGAAGCGACATTCAATGCATACCGTTCTTTGTAAATACTTTCCGCCTCTGTCAGTGATTGATTCTCAACTGCAATCAACCTCATAGTGTCCTCCCCCCTCCTCCAGAAAATGAGGGCCTGTCAGTGCCCCTCTGCACTATGTACGTATCTTTGTTCAGCTAATCAAACACGACTAATGCTTAGCCTAGATACATGTTTAAATACATGTAGCCGGAGCATAGTGGCATAAAATGTACATTGTGCAGAGGGGCACTTTAGCTGGGCCCTCATTTCCTGGAGGGGGGGGCAGGGCACTCCAGGGTTCAGTCACTGTTAAGAAACACTGACCAAAGCAGGCACTAGCCAGCACAGATAATTTTCTTTAATTTCTGAGCCATTTGGGGAGACATGGGGGGGGCATACTGTCATGACTGTAGGCTTTGAGTGAGAGCAGTGGCCCATCATGCCTTCCCCTTGGTTCTGCACTAGTGTTGCAATGGGCATGATGGGTGGATATGCATGGTCAGTCGATCTTATTGCACGATTTGTCATGAATTCTACCATCGGCCAGTAAATGTTTTTTCTTTGCAATTCAGGGTTTTGAAAGATTGTTCGAAAGAAAAAGAAGTTAATTTAAAGTTGGAGATTGCAGGATTGACTTATAGTGCAGAGCGATGGGATGATCGTGAAGATCAGCCAGTCGTGCCCAACAGTAGTATAACCTTATCAGGCCATGGAGCTTTGTTGTAGCTCATTCTTCTGTGTTATGGTAGACAGAGCTATTGATTTGCATATCTGCCCATCCCTTTCCCTTCTAGCCACTCCTCAGTGCTTGTGAAAAGATTGCCAAGGGCTGAGGACTCCCTTTATTGTTTTCATACAAATGGATAGCATAAATTTGAAAAATTGTAATAGGTCCCCCCAGGCAAGAACAGTGTTACCCTTGAGGAAAAACATTAACGGGGCTCTTTTTTAAAATTGGAAACAGATATATGCCTATATCTTAATCTAGCAAGTACTCAAATTCTCAATATCTCACATATGTCTCTGTCCTCATCATGACAGGCATAAATGAATTTGGTAGTTTTGCACAAACACCCATTTTCTTATACATGCAACTTTAACACCAGTGAATCCAAAGTGTTGGGTATAATGAGGTTACAGACTCAGAAAACACCAAGGGGTATCACTATCGCAGATATTGATAGGAATGGACAGGCAGTTGCAACATTGCCTAGAAAACCGAAGGGCTGGCAGATTCTAGATAAAACTCTTGTACTCCTCTGTGACTTGTACAAATCTTGTCTGTCATTTTCTTTTTCTTTCTTTTTTTTCCCCTCCAAATAGATGTCTGCTGTTCGGTCCTTTATCACCAGAGTTGGCATGCCCAAACTCCTTACAGTCACTCCTACATCGTCCTTGCTGGACTCTAAAGTCGCCATCAGAGCGACTGGATTGGAGGCTAATAGCCGCGTGACTATTAGGTAAGAAATCGTCTGTGTGCCTGCAAAGTTATTTTTTGGCATAGGATCTTGTTCTTGGGCTGTCAATGCAAAAATGTAAGAATTGTTGAAATTATTCCAGTTTCTAAAGTCAAAAGGGGAAAAAATCCAGGTTGGACTTAATCTTGAAAATTATGTATGCTTTGTTTTACACTTTTACTTTACAGGCGTGGTTCTGACCTCTGTCTATTTTGAGTTTTAACAATAGCCCTAAAAAAGGCTTTTCAATGAAGTTCTCTTACATTATTAAGTACTTTGTTGGAATATCCAACTTCATAGTGATTTCTTAAAAATAGTCTTTGTACAAAACATTCACATGTTTAATGTCAGATGTTAATTCTTAAATTTTGCTTGAACATACTGAAAGTGAAGTGAATGAGATATAAGCTCTGTGCCACCCAGAGAGAGACTTGTCAAAAGAGAGAACATGCCTATTGCTTTCTTTAATGATGCATCATAAACTATAAAATGTTCATCTATCTATACTGTTGGGTTTTCCCAAGAAAAAAAGTCATCTAATACTTCAGATTTGCGAGCCGATGAAATGATCTGGAATGCACATTCACATGTTTGCCCATTTCGTGCACTAGACTGTTTTGTTTGTTTGGTTTGGCAGATCTGTTTTGGAGCAAGAGACCAAAACTGGTCTGGCAAAGTATGAGGCCCACGGCCATTACATCGCTGATGATAGAGGTGTGGTGTCATTACCCGACCAGATTTCGCTGGGGGGGACCTATACTGGTGAGAGCTTTTGCTTTGGGGGGAGACTGCCCCTGGCTTGGTAAATCATTCTGCCAGGAAAAGTAGTTGGTTCCTTCCTTAAAAGGGCGGGCAGTGTTCAGATGTATACATTTTTTCATCACACGTTTTTCACTAAATTTGAATGCGTGTGATGTGAAGCATCCGTCAGTGATTTCTTGCAAAGCTCCTTTATTTATACAGGTTAAGGGTCGTACACTTTTTGTCATCTACATGTATTTATTTGGACGGAAACTGGTGCAAACAAATAACATTTACTGAACGAGGTGAAAATTCCATCAATAGATCTATGCATATATCCTTTTGCCATATGATATCAAGCTGAATAACATCCAAACTCTCTGATACATTCCAAAAGCTAAAGATTCACAATAATTTGTCAGTTAGTGTTCCAACTGCACATGCCCAAATTGAATTGCGTCCGAGGTCTATTCAGGAGCAGCAGCACAGGGCGCATCATAGTTTGTCCTATCAGCCCAGCCATACGCCACCTCATCATGCTTTGTTTAATTTTTTTTTAACAGGGACTGAAGCTATGGGGCTGTTTTTGAGCATACAGCCCTCATTGGGCCAGCGTTTGGGCAATCGCTTCGTAGTCAAAGATATCAGAAATCCCATGGTAGTGAACCTATCATTGTACTGTGGTCATCTCAACATGGAGACATTACAAACGGCTGAGCCGGAGGCTACCGCGACAGCTCAGAAGTGGTACATGAGCAAGGACGTGGAGAAGATCCCGGTCCACAGTGGCAGCTTGAGGGGATCATTATTTAAACCTACAGGTATTAGACAAAGAAAAATTCAGTGGTTGTGATAGGCAAAAATAAATGTGGCTATCTATCACTGATTATTCAGTAAACATTTTTAGGGACGATTTCATAATTACTCAAGTTACGTGGGACCTTGACTCATTTCCTGAGCTCTACTCATACCTCTGCCAGCACAAACTCAATGCTTTTTTGTAACCAGGAGGTAAACATCACAAACTGTCTTATGCGCTCAATTTAATTTTCAGACAGGGAACTTACCTTGGTGCAAAACTGTCAAAGGTAAAATTCAAGCAACTGTGGGATTGCTTCTGGGTAGAATTCCTCACAAGAGTTGGGGTTTCAAGCACAATGCATACAGGCCTCTAAAGATGTCACTAAGGATGAGAAGTGCAAAAGCAAATGTGTTTGAAAACATCCATGAAAGCAGGGAGAGTATTAATGAGAGACTTTGAGATGCTGGTAGCAGCAGATATACTGGTCCTTTTTCGCAGTATTGTGCGTACTGTGAAGTGTTCACTCATGCTCAGAACAACATGCACATGCTCAGAACTCATCAAAAGGAGCAGTACGTTTGGCACTGCCCATAGGATCTCAAAGTCTCTCTTTTTTCTTTTTTTTTTACCGAGTTTTGTCTTGAGCACAAGGCAGGTAGACGTATAGATCAAATTCTTGCAAGCTGTAGAGTTCTTTTTGTTTTTTACAAGGCCCCGGCCCATTCCCTGGGGTGATTGATATGCATGGATCCGTGGGAGGGCTGATAGAGATTCGGGCGGCCATGCTTGCATCTCACGGCCTGGCCAGCTATGCTCTGCCCTACTTCAACTATGGGGACCTACCCTCTCACATGTGGAACCTGGAGCTGGAATATTTTAAGGTATGGCCTGGTAATTCAAAGGCAAATTAATGTTAGCTTTGGATTTGGTGTTTTGGTTTGATTAAAATCTGATTTGATTTGAGTCTACTGTGCCTGTACAAGTTCTCTCTCAGTGAAGAAAAGAGAGGGCTTTACGCAATGCAATTTGTTACCCTTGCAAATCTCCTTAATTACACCTTTATATTGTCAATGTATATTTTTTTATTTTCAAAAGTGTATTTTTGTTTTTTGTTTTTGTGATGTTGACTATTTCCTTATGATGAACAAAGCTGTGTTATTGTATTGGGCAGAAAACCTCAGTACTGCATTGATTTGTGCACAGAACTGCTGGAATAATTAAATGTATTGATAGTCTAAATTTCACTTTTCTTTGTTGATTTATTTTGAATAGAATATTTTGAATAGTACATGTACAAGCAATCAGCAACCCTCTCTCAGAATTATTTCACGGTTGCAATGTTTGGGTTCACAGTTTGAACTGAAAATCAATTAAACTTAGAGTATCTTCCCACAAATGAGGTCATACGGACAACACCCCTGTTAGAATTTTGGACGAGTTGAAATGTTCCAAAAGCTCTTTTTTTTAATAGACATAACACAAAAGTGTGCTAAAAAATTAAAAAGGAGTATAAAAGTTATAAAAAAATTTGTCTAAGAAATTTGATTGTTTGGACATTTTACCATTGCTGTGGGCATGATACATGTAACCATGCACCGTAGGATTGTGCACATTCAGATGAAAAATAAACACATGGAGCAGGCCTAGGCCATACCGTAGGAGCCTGTATTTACATGTATGTGTACATTCACTGGTGTGATGCTTTCTGCATTTCTTCATTTACATTTCCTGGGTACAGATCATAAGTTTTAATGGTATTCTCTAGGTCAAATATGGGGTTAAACAGTTTGTGTACAGTATGCATGGATGGGGATGATGATTGTGAAACTTCCCTGAATTACTCTAGCCCATGTTGTTTTTGCGAAGACTGAGGCTATGAGCCCCAAGCACGAACAAGAGAGGGCACAATTTCCTAGCAATAGAGGCTCCTTTGGTGGGAATTGCACTTCGCTGGTTCACTAACGACTACGAAAATGCAAGTGGTATGGTCGTGTCGCTACCAACAAAATGAAGACTCTCCACCAACGTGGCTCTTTCCAACTGATGAGTGGGTGCTTTTGCTCAAGACGGATGGGGACCATCATAATATGGTACCCGTATGATTACGGGATTTATATACGGTTCTGCAAAACTTGGTAGCCAAGTATTGATTTTGCATGGTCAGTTTTATTCCACACATTGTAACCAATGATCATTACACATCAACTTGAACATTAAGGCACACATATATGTACGTTTAAATGATTGCACAAAAAGCAATGTATCACCACCCATTTTTTCCAAGCTAAATGCATCCCATATCCACACCATTTCTTATGGTCCCTATTATCAAAAGGCTGAATTCTGAAGGGAGTATAACGGAAGTGTGACAAATGTGTTGCTTCTGGTAATATGTACCTGAAGTTGTTTAAATGTTTCTAAATCATGTCTTAATGTCTGACCTACGGTCTCTCCCTAGGAAGCTGTCGATTGGATGGCTGACCAGCCCTTCGTAAGGCCAGAAGGTATTGGAATGGTCGGTATATCTACAGGGGGGCAAAATGCCCTGGCAACTGTCTCACATTTTCCTGAAAAGGTAATTCCAATATCGGTTACAAATATGATTAATGAAGGGAATATATGCTCGGCTGGTTTTAAATAAGCTTGATTCAATCAGCTAGGGACCTCTCCGATAATAACTCGGCTGAGTCAAAGACAATTAAGGGTCGTTAATTATCCACCACCAGCACCAAGTAAAGCCAGGTTTCAACATACAGTACCTATATTTGTAAATAAACTATAAAGAATATATTTATTCCCCTGCATAAATACATACATTTTGAAAGCTCATATGTGATGTGAAATACCCTCCTTGCCCTATCTGTATCTGTAAAAAAATCTAACTAAACTAAGAATCTTTGAGGGAAAAGTCGCTGGAAACTGAATTAATAGGGCTAAGACACCAATATTTGACTTCAAAAAAGGACAAAAAAATTTATTAATTAAAAAGTGCTAAGAAAAATGGAAAAAAAATACAGAAAGGACTAAAAAACTAAAAAAACTTAATACAAAAAGACTAAAAAATTTAAAGGGACTAAAACCAAACACAGTGTGTTAAATAGACCTTATGAACTTACACCTAGACTTCAATCTGTAACAAACGAGAGAAGTAAAGAACAGACATGTAAAAACAACGAAATCTCTTGTGCATGGACTACATTCACATGTGGTCCTGGAAGGGAGAGCAACTAAAAGTGTGCACAGGCCTATGAGGTCATTAAGTATTTAAATCCCATTGCATGTTCAAATAAACAAGCAACTGAGGAAGAGAAGACAAAGAAGGCATGTTCTGAGGCAAATGGATGAAAACACACATCACTGATATACTTTGACCAAAAAAGTACTATGGGAAAATCTAAAAAGAGATCTAAAATATGATATAAGCTTAGAGTGTGTTTTCTAGGCAAAGAAGCTTGACAGAGATATTCATGAACACCCAAGGAAAACTTCAATGATTCAGGAAGCTAATTCTTAGAAAAAGATGGACAAAACTTGGCAAAAGATGTTTGGAATCTGGATAACATTCAGAAAAGAGAGAAAAATTAACTTTGTACATAGGTAGAAAAAGTTTAGAACTCGCCACTGACTTCTAGCAGACTAGAGCTTTAAGCAGAAAACCACACTCCAGTTAGGAGGAACAATACATGTGAAGTTGATCTCTGCTGATCTGCTACACTGAGTGTGGCCAGACCATGTGGCTACATTTTATAGGGAAGAGCTGGGGCTTAAAAAATAAACAGGGGGGCACACTATTAAAAAAATCAAGAACTAAAGCTAAACGTTTTTAGAGGGGCGCTACTTCTATGTAAAAACGTATATTTAATAACAGTCATTTCTGGCTCTGCCACACTAGCACTCATCAATGCATAAGACAAACATAACACAACAATGCACATGTGTCCCCAACCATATCAAAGATCACATGCCTTTCATTCGGCACTAGCTACATGTAAATCCAGTTTGCCATTTTCCTTGCACTGTTAAAAGTCCTCAGGACAGATAGCAATGTTTGTTGTCTTCTCTTTTCAATGCCACCAGGTGAAGGCGGTGGTCAGCATCAGCGGTTGCCACGTTCAAAATATATTCCCCATGACCCTGAAAGGACAGCCGCTGCCATTCGTTGAGTAAGCACAAAGGTTTAGTTGGAGAGTATGGAAGTGACATTGTCAGTGTTCAGGCAAGGCATAGGGCAAGGGCATACAAAGTTTTCTGAAGATTCCCTTTACAGATTTCAACAGTTACTGTCATATTTGTGAAAACTGTTAGTCCCAAGTCACCGGAGCCACTTTTGAGTTTGGGTTCTTTTGAAGAGTCTTGTGCTATGTACGTCCCTCGACATTTTCACCCACAGCTATGCCCTTTTTCATCAGGATACCAAAACGAGTGGCACATTAAAACAAAGAGCTTTGCTTGCTCTTTCTTATGCACACTGAAACAAAATTACTGAAATAAATGGCCTTGTGGCTCATTTTCACAGAATGGGTCACATTTTTCAAACGACAACAACAATTTACTGTGATTTTTTTTAATATACCAGGTTTGACAGTGCTGGAATTGAACCCTCAGAGAAAATAGACGGTGCCAAAGAAACGTTTGATTCCTACAAAGGTATCTATGATGTCAAAGAAAATGATGATTCCGTATTCAAGGTAAGGCAACATTAAACATGCACTGTACCGGAATCTGCTGAAATAGGGGAAAGACTGTCCTTATGTCAGTTCAGTTTATGACAGTCAGACCATTAGGAGAAAGTGATGAGCATGACATGTGACTTAATGGTGAGCCAACAGGTGAAGGGAAAGGACTTAAAGCTGACACTGTAAAATGCATATGGGGGACTGTGATGACTGTGAGTAAGAATCAGTGCTCTGATTTGGGTCAGGTCTATTTGGAGGGGTGTTATCAATCCGATAAACATGGTGCACAAATCAAAATGACTAGAAACAAAGAGTTATTATCGACAAGGAAATCCATTCTGATTTATACTTCTTTTGCTGCACTAAATAGGAGAAAGACTGTCCTTATGTCAGTTCAGTTTATGACAGTCAGTATCAAAAATTTGAACAAAACGAACAACAACATGCAAAGTGCGACCACAGATAGAGTGATATCAAATTAGAAAAGAGCTGGACTTTATCTGTATCTCTTCCATAATTAGTGTTTGCACAGTATATAAGATACCCTACAAACAATATGAGATTGTTGTACATAGCAGATTTACCGTGTTCTTGACTTGATAAACACACATGTACATGTACGTTCACTTGTCTTCTGAAAACTTCAACTGTGAACACTATGCTTCTGGGTCATTCTATAAATGTGAGCGACCATCCAAAAACCAGGCTGAAGTTGGTTTTTGTGATGTTGGACAATTCCTCTCCTTCAGTTTTTTAACACTTTAAAGTGATCCATGTTAAATCGAAATTCTGTCTGCAGTGAGCTTCTTACGGGAAGTGATAGCTGTAAAACTCCCACGCAAATCTGAACAGTGGAAGTTCCACTATTTTAGGGTTATGAAGTTACCTACTTCAGCCTGGTTTGGGGATGGTGGGTCACAAATGTAGGGTCCAAAAGTGTGACATTTTTGTGTCCCATGTTACATCTGAATGGTGTAATTTGACGTAGACATATCATTGAAATTGATTTCAAAGTATTTTTAGTTGTTTGGCAGGTAATTGGCATTAATTCATCACTCTTGGAAATTGGAGAATTTGTTCTAAACTTACAAATCATATGTCAGGTGTGACAGGGACACCAAAAGAATCGGACCCCTAATTTATAGAATTACCTTTCTGTTCTTTAAGTATTTAAAGCTATCAGGAGATTTCACCCTCTGTTACATTTGTTTTCGTTCAACTTTCAAGGACCTCTAGAATTTAGGAAACTGATTATTCGCAGCTCAGTGACACAAAACCCTATTTTGCAAGAACCTGCTTGTAACCACCTGTCTTTCTTTTTGCCGATTGGGGGTGCACTTCAGTTTGGGGAGGAGTGAGATCATTGGGCAGTGCTTATAATTTCAAATATATTTGTGGCCTATTTTTTGTGTGGAACTAAGTATTAACAACACATGGCAAGGCCCGATACTTGACACGACGTGGATCCTTCAAGATCAACTGCACATTTTTACCATACATCCTCGATGCGTCCACATCCTCCACTTATGCCAGGAGAATTTTGGACAATTTTGGATGCAGCACTTATAACATGCAAAAAGGATGATGTGTGTGTGTAGCATTTTATTCAATTCTTGTTCTGCGGGGGGGGGACTGATAACCACATTTTGGAAAAAAAAAAAGGTACACATTGTACTAATTGTTCATTTCAATGTATTTGAAAGATCCATTCCCAACCTGTGCCTTGATAAAAGGAGCTTTCTCTTCCAACATTCAAATACTTTAGTCTCTTTTTGATAAGTCTTTTCGGTTTCATTCATTTCACAACAGCTTGAAAATGCTCCCAATTGCCATTTCCTTTTCATCTGTGGAGAAGATGATGCAGTGTGGGACAGCTGCCACTATGCACAGGAGGCCATGCACAGACTAGCGAGACACGGCTGCCACAATTATCAGCTGCTGAGCTACCCAAACACTGGCCACCTGATGGACGTCCCATACATTCCTGCCAGCACAGTGGCCTATTCACCATTTATAAGTAAAGCACTTCTTTTATATACCCACAAATTTTCACTGTGAACATCCTGATCCCTTGGAAATTGTTAATGTACTATTTTGCCTCGGAATAAATAGGAACTGACATTTTCATAGTGTTTTCAACAGATTAAGTAGGAATAGTGGAATTGCCCTTGGAAACATCCTTTTTCAGCAGTCCGTGAAAATCTGGTGACTTTGGGAACTGTTACCGCTGCAGGTACTGTTACGGGCTGAGAAATCTGTAAGGAAGCTCATATCATAATCACCATTTTGACATGCCAGTGGTGTGCAAGAAGGAGTCTTGAAAAATGTCTTGTTGGATAAGATCAATTTGGGTAAACATCTTTGACTTGAAACAATCCTCAGGGTTTATTTTCAGGGCAGTAAAAGGAGTACTTTTTTGACAATTTCTGGGACAATTATAAAATGTCAATATAATGAATAACGATGCACAATTTTCCGTGAGTTTCATTGTGGATGTGTGCCAACTTGAAATGCGACAGCAAAGCGTCCAGCTGTGAGCCATCTAAACGTCTTGAAGAAAATTATAACCATCTGTAGTGTCGAGGGGAATAGCCTGGCTGATGAACTCAAACAACTTAACCTCATTCTCTAACACATTTATCCCTCCAACCCTTCAATTTCATGTTTCAATGAAAGTTGAACCTTTTCAAGTTCTGCTTTGGGGACTCACTGAATAAAAAATAACACCCATCCAGTTTATGTCAGCAGGAGTAGTCTGCAACCACTTTGTTTGGCCACACTCAGTGGCCATGCTTGATACGTACAGTATGCTGCCCATGTTCCAGTGACAGAGGGATGTGAGATCATGCCCCACTGTTTAGTTTGCTTGTTCAAGAATACCAAGAAAGGGAGAAGGCATTTAAGATGGGAGCTGTTTGCTGACCTTTTGACCTGACATAAGTCACCTTCACCGCAGAAGCAAACCAACGACCTTTCTTGAATTTTGTCAGTTCTGAACCCATGGTTGATGATGTGCATTGCAGGATGTCCTCTCAACCAAGGAGGTACGGTGGTGGGTACAGCCAAGGCCACGGAGGATTACTGGCCCAAGATCATTAGGTTCCTGCATGCCCACTGTGGCCGTGGCAACTATGGATCTAAACTGTGAGGAACAGCAAACGAGGATGCATCCACGCATATGCCCAGCATGCCCACGGGTTTTGGCCTGGGGCCCATTTCATAGAGCCCCTCATAAAAGGAGGGAAATGTTTCTTTAAACAAAGAAAATATTTGTAATTGCTTGTCAATAAAGAGGGTCATCAGTTAGAACACCACACAGTTTTTATCACCCAGACTGGTTTTCTGGCAATATTGGCTCAGCAAAATTTTGTGTAGGAGCAATTTCTCTTTAGATGATTTATGAAACTGGGCCCTGAAATGCCTAAATTTGGTCAAACTTTGCAAGCATGTACCTGTCAGACACTCATTATTGCTACAAATTTTCCTATGAAGGTTATGTCCTATGAAAGATACCGGTTGACTCGAAGCCTTGAAACGAATGTAAATAATCAGTTAATAATGAAACAAGGCTTAATCTGAATATTCGCTTTCTGATTCATTGACTTAATAATCTGGGGTAGAGTGTCTTTTTCCCTGGCTTCAGAACTAGCCTTTCACTTAGACAAGAAAAAGGAAAGATTGCTATGGCCTGTGCTCTGAAAACCGACCAAATAAATCAACCCTACTCCGTAAAAACATTAGAAAGTCCTTCCAGTTGGTCACTCTCATCTGAAAAACTTGTTAACAGCCTGTTGGCACAGTAAGGCAGTACTGCAGTGACCACATATCAATTGCTGAAGTGAATGCCACAATTCCACGTAGGACCTTTTACACTAGAGTCACTATATCGATGTTCATTATTAACATATAGCTTCTAATCTCTGAAGAAAATACAAGAAAAGTAAATCACCAAATTTAAAGTGAATGCTGAAGTGTGTTGGACCACAAAGTTGGGAAGCTTGGAGAGTAGAGTCCGGTGCCACTGTAGTTTTTGGTTTATTTGATGAACTCCTGCCCACGACAGCCAGGTAGCCCAAGAGCCTAATAAGCTTCTGCAAATCGAGCGTCTGTTATTACATATCACAACAAATGCCATCAAGCACCGTCAAAATAATATCGAAACTTCCTTCCCAAGAAATGGAAACATTCGTCTTAAAGTACTAATTGGACTTTATAATACTGCATGTATAAACTTAGGAGTTTTCAAGTAAAGTTTGCAGGAAATTTTCACAAGCGATGATAAACTTAAGGAATAACAATCAAAATATCCTTCAAAATGGAGTCCAGGGAAACTAGGAAAACAATATTAATAACTTTGCAACAATGAAACGTACACTTACCCTAGCCAATGCTAAAATTATTTTGATAAAATTATTCATAAGACTACCCTATGGTAATATGATCTCATTTTATCACGCAAGATGAAATAATTATATGCAAACCTGGCATCTTATATTTTCAAAATTAGGAAGTGTAAACTACAGAGAGATGTCCGATTGAAATGTTATATGTATGCATTCTGATCTGAAATATAACAAGCGAATGCTGTTCAAAGAATTTCTGAGGAGTGTCTATAGTGCATGCATGTGATGTATTCAAAACTGGTGATCTCTATCCGCCCGAGTTGAAGTGTACCCCCAAGCGGCAAAAAAAGCCACATAGTTGTAAGTTTTCCAAGTTATTGCATGCGTTCTGCGTGTACGCAAAGACCATACATTAAGGTACCGTGTACTCACTGTGCTCCGCGCGCGTCAAACGCGCCACTGATCTCTTTTATAAACGCGCGTATGCGGTCATATGAAGCAAACTAAGGAACAGTGAGAACCCCCCTGCCTTTGCGTTGTTCATTGTTATACTGTTATCTCAGGTACGGGGGGATGTGTTAAGTGACAATTAATAGTATGGAGTGTGTATCAGTCCGGGAAATGCTCGAATTAGGAAACGTTTCCCAATTTGGAAATCCCCGTTTTCTAATTGGGAAACGTTTCCTAATTCGGAAACGTAAAATTCAAACTCGCCGGTGCGAAATTTTACACGTTGGCGCCAAAAAATTGCTGAAATGTGATTTTCATTTACTTGCCTAAATTTCTGTCTACGAAAATCAAAATGTTATCTGTGCATTTCATTTAAAAAGTCCGAACTTGTGACCATTCTCGCGGTCGGTGTGACATCACTATGGACTTTTAAAACACGTTAAAGGGGCAAATTTACCGTTTGTGCCACTCAATAATGTACAGAATTCCCGGATGTCCGATGGCGCGAATGTAAGCGTTACTGGGTGCATTCCACCGAATCGTTGTATTTCTGCCCGCGAGCTCATGAATATTTTGTGATCCCACGGGATTTTTTTACAATAAGACAGGCCATAATCAGGAGGCATCATAGAAATATTTCTATAAATCCCGAATTTGGGACTGGTAGTTTCCAGTTCGGGGTGTTTCTTTCACAAACCCCAAATTGCGGCCCTGTTTTGGATAGAGGCGGGCGGCTATACTAAGAGCTAAGCGCATACTTTTACTACTATTTTGGGGGTATCTTCGGGGAAAGGCGAATAAAAAAAATTCGTGGCTAACCCCCGTAACATGTCGGCCTCCGTCGGTCTATGATGACCATGGAAGAGAATCCTAAACGTCTAAGCTGCTGGAACAGCACCACCTGTGGCTAAACAGGCCGATGCGCGAATGGCAGACCCTGTCGCACAGGTCGCACTTGTGGGTGGTCTCCGTGCTGCTGAGTCTGTGGCAGTTCTTCCTGCGGGTCCTTTTTTCATCTGCTACAGCAGTCAGTCTCTTTTCACCCGCCTTGAGTTGTCTGGTCAAGGTGCCTCTCTATTTGGAGCGGTCCGTTGCAAGGTCCTCCCACTCCGCTCTGTGTTAATCTCCAGGGCCTTCGTTTCTCTCTTGCAGACATCTCTAAAGCGCAGTTGTGGGTGGCCAACGTCTCCGTCGCCAGTTCACCGTAGAGGACGTCTTTGGGGGTTCTGCCATCCTCCATACGGTGAACGTGGCCTAGCCAGCGCAGCCTGCGCTGCCTAAGTAGAGTTAACATAGAGGGAAGGCCGGCGCGGGACAAAACTTGTGTGTTGGGCACTTTGTCCAGCCAGGATACGTCCAGGATGTGGCGAATGCAGCGCAGGTGGAAGGAGTTCAGTCTCTTTTCCTGCCGGGCGTAGGCTATGTTGTCCACGTCTCAGTCTCATAGAGTAGTGTGCTAATGAGGCAGGCGCCAAGACGTTTGTCTTCTTCAGGCTGATGGTAAGCCCGGAGTCCGTGCATGCCTGGGAGAAGCAGTCCATCAGGGTCTGAAGCTCCTGCTGTGTGGGTTGCGACTGCAGCATCGTCTGCAAACAGCATGTCTCTGATTAGAGCATTGAGTACTTTAGTTCTGGCTTTCAGGAGGGCGAGGTTGAAAAGTCTGCCGTCAAATCTTGTGTGCAGGTAGATTCCCTCTGTTGCTGTACTGAAGGCATGCCTCAGGAGCATAGCAAAGAAAATCCCAAAGAGGGTTGGTGCCAAGTACACAACCCTGGTTTCACTCTGCTGCGTATGTTGAATGGCTCTGAGACGTTGCCGTGGTGCTGCACTATCCCCTGCATGTTGGTGTCGATGAGGCTTTGCAACTTTGGTGGTGGGCATCCTATCTTTGGCAGAATCTTGAAAATTAGGCCCTCTCTGCTGACCAGATCGAACGCTTAGGTGAGGTCGATGAAGGCGACGTACAAGGGCATGTTAGGTTCTCTACATTTCTCCTGGAGTTGGCGGATGGAAAATATCATGTCTACTGTTGATCGCTGGGACTGGGGTAAACACGTTAGGAAAGCCTCTGTAGACGAGCGAGAATAACTCGTGCGTAGACTTTGCCAACAACGCTAAGGAGGGAGATGATTGGCTCGGCGTCAAGTTCGTCCACAGATGGCAGGCAGTCAAAGGCATCAAGGGCTGACGGTATCACGGTGTCCTGTCTGGGGTAGAGGTCATAGTAGTGTTCCGCCCATCTCTCCATCTGCTTGTTCTTTTCTGTGATCATCTCCCCAGTGGATGATTTGAGGGGGCCGTCTTGCTCTGAGCCGGACCAAGTGCTTTCTTAATGCCATTGTACATACCACGGATGTCCCCTGTTATGGCAGCGGTTTGAATGTCTTGGCTGAGCTGAGTCCAGTATTCATTGGCACATCGCCGAGCAGTCTTCTGAACTTTGCTTCTTGCAACACTGAGACTCTGTATATTCTTCTCGTTTGGGTAGTTCTTGTACTCAGCAAGTGCTGAACGCTTGGTTTCAATGAGTGGGTCATCTCGGTCAACTTGGCATCAAACCAGTCCCGTGACTTCGAGGTCTTCCTCCCAAAGGTAGCCAAGGCTGTGTGGTGGACGGTGTTTTGCAGCTCTTCCCACTTCTGCTTTGCAGATTCTCCTTCTTGTGGTACACCAAGTTCCTTCTCAAAAGTGGAGGCAAACTGCTCAACAAGTTCTGGTTGGGCCATCTTGCTGGTGTCAATCCGTGCTTTTCCAGGCTGTCTAGCACGATGGAATTTCTTCAGCTGCAGCTTGACGTTGCAACACACCAATGAATGGTCTGTGCCGCAATCTGCACTCTGGAATGAACGAGTGATTAGCACGTTCTTCAGTGAGGTGCGCCTGGTCAGGATAGTCCAACTGGTGCCAGTGCTTTGAGCATGGATGTTTCCAGGAAACCTTGTGTTGGGGCCTGGTCTTGAAGAACGAGTCTGTGATGCACAGATCGTGATATGTGCAGAACTCGAGCAGCCGCTGTCTGTTGTCGTTCAGTCTGCCCACGCCAAATGGTCCAAGACAGGAGGGCCAAGAGTCATGGTCAGCACCCACTCTGGCATTGAATTCTCCAAGGAGTATGATTTGTTCAGAGTTGGGAATGATCCTGACAGTTGTTGCGAGATTCTCGTAGAACTTGTCTTTTGCCTCTGGTGTGGCTGTCATTGTTGGGGGTGACTGACGAGGGTGACTGGGCCTTGAGTGGTGTTGAGGCGGAGGGTGTATGAGGAGTTTTTTAACTCATCTCCAGGTGACTTTTCCAAATATTACTTGAGGAAGATAAAGGTAAAATTCCAACATGAGTGTTACATGGGGTGGTTTCAGTGAGGAATTATTTTTCCAAAAATTATCGAACGTGACAGGACGGCCCAATGTAAAATCCCCATTGGCAGATCGCGCAAGGGTTCCGGAAGCTCGCTGCGTGACCTTTTACTTCCAGGCTCTATTGTGTTTGTTTCCAGGATCAACAGGTACTGTTGATCATGCCGCGATTTTCGTATACGTCATGTACGTGGCTAAGATCAAAATAAAACGTACCACAACTTTGCTCATCGCTCCCTGTTTTTCTTCCCTTTGGAATAGCTACCACGCATATCGTAACATGCTCCTCGAAGGCCTTAGATTTGGCATGAAATGCAGCCACAAGTCCAGCCAGTTTGATGACTGGGGTTGTCTGGTCACGGCTCCTCCCCTCCAAGAAATATAGACGAGCAAATCTGGACCATCCAAGTACATTGTCCATCAAAACTGGCAGGCAGCACCATTGGGCATGTCTCCCGAAATACTAGCAATATCCTGTCCCGTGCATTGGTCGGAAAACGAATTCTGCATATACGTGGGCGAAATGGTGCACGATGCATGACCTGGTGAAAGGCGGAGGACCGAAATTGACAGCTGCCTATCTTTTGGAGGTTGGGACAACCAAGTATGCACAGGAGATCATGTGTGGAATAAAACCCCACTTGGATAACCGAGGCCATATTTGGATTTTGTAAAAACTGAGACTGAGTGCGTAAATTGAAGTGACCCTGTTGAGTTGTTTTAAGATGTAAGTTTTTTGCGACAATATGTCGCCAAAGTTTAGTATTCTATTTAGCCTGTTCATAAATTTTTTGATTTCATTTTGTTACGAATCTGATTACTTCTGTCATTTTGGTTTGATGTTCACCGTACCTCTGTGTAATAGTATTTTCATTTTATTACTAAAGATGTGTTTTGCTTCAAACAGATTTGTTTTTAAGTCACATTTTAAGAACATTTCAATGTCCAAAAATTTAATATAATTTTGTTTTAATTGTGCTTTAAAATTAGTGAGAAAAAGTTTACAGTAAGAAAATAGGCTGCAATTCTTTTCTTGAGAGAATTGATACAAGAAAAATTACTGGAAATAAAACACTTCAATCCTGACATTACGATTTGCCTTTCACACAACTTTATTTCGTCATACATTTATTTTTAACACGCTGTTACATTTCAACTCATGCCATAATTCCACTTTTTCCCCATAATTTCACTTTAGGCCTACGTGTGGTTTCGGTAATTGAATGTCTGTTAATAGACAAATTAATTAATAGCATTGAGAAAATCATCCTCATTTGAAATTCCAGCCCCCCACCCCCAATCGAGTTTGGTCGCCCCCCAAACCACAAATACTGGTTGCGCCGCTGGGTTGCAATTCCGGTTTCCTTGTAGAAAAGCACATTATCTTGCAAACACCGGAAGTTTCCTAATTTGGTTTCCGAATTGGGAAACGTTTCCTAATTCGCGCATTTCCCGGACTGGTATAGGGATTGGACTTGTGAGGGAGGGGTATCCTTCTGTCCCATTTCGCGCGTGGTATGCGGTGAGTGCCAAAAATACGCCGTCTTTTGTTCCGCTCGGAGCGGATGGGGTGTACACTATGTAAAATCATATTGAAATTCAGAGGTTGAGGACTGTTTGGGTCATAGAAAGGATAATTGTTCATGGTGAAGTTAAGTGAGCACGTGGGGATACACAGCAAGGTATCTTGCCATCAACTCTCTCGGCGAAGTTGGTTTCTGGTGGACTTTTTCTGTACAAGAGCGGATGCACGGAATTGGCAAATTCCTCACCAAGCCTTTACTCCTGTTCCCCACGTGAGAGGCTCTTGTGTTTAAGGCATCATCATTACAAGTGTACATCTTCCACGATTACAAAAGACTCTGGTATAATATTGGGATCTGTTCTGCATCCCTGCAAGGCATTGGTTATAACGTCTCCCCAAAAAGGCTGCCATATTTTCATTGGAGATGTATGGGACAGAAATCAGCCTTTGGTAATCATCATCACCGAACATACATACAATTGTGGAGAATAATAGCTCCTCGGCTGAGTAAATCAAACAAAGTTCAGTTCCTAAATTTTGACTTGTTGGGACTATTTCTAATACTCACAACATATAACATGCACGACAGTGACGAGCTGTACTTCTTGATTTTTATTCATATGTAAAGTGTAACAATGAGCTTTTCTTCTGATTTTAGTTGGACTAACTTCAGGGCTGCTCATTAAAGCTTTGCAAGAAACAATTAAATGTACGGGTTACATAATTGTTTAAGTGTTAAACATTAAACTTGAAGCTGCATGGTGAAGTTGCACAAACGAGATGAAGAGGAAACATGATGCACGAATTGTAATCTTGTCAATGTTTAAAGCACTTTGGGATGTTGGTCAGCTGTTTTTTCCATATATGTACATCCTTTAGTTATTTGAAAGATATGATAACTGATTATTCAATTCAAGAGCCAGATTTTCTGGACTATCACCCCTACAAGGTCAGGGGGAAAGGGTAATTCGTTCTTGGAATCTGCCCCATCCCCGTTGATTTCTCCGGTGTTCCATGCCTGAAACTGGCATGCACCGATGGAGAGTCGGCATAAGCAAGTGCGACTTTTCCACTCAATCTGAGATACATGTAGGGTTTAATGCATACGGTCACTGCCTATGCTTGTCAGCCAGCATGCACTGAGCACTTGATCTATGAAAAACAATATTATTTGGCTGACCTTCGTGGGAAAAATATAGCCCTTTGGCAAAACCAATACATCCGTTTTTCATGAAAATGAGTAATGTAAGACATTACTGGATAAAAAGTTCCAAGACTGCACAAAAAAAGACATTTTGACAGTATTGGAAAACATGTCAAAGAACTGGGAAAGGAACAGGATTCTGTCACGTGGGAAAATTTAGGGTGTACCTATGTATTTATAGTTTGGCCTTTGGTGTGGCTGATCATGCGGCTCAGCTGCGAAACCAAAACAGGTTAACTACTATCAACTATATAGGCCTATAAGCCTTACATCAACTCCCGGTAAGAATGCAAATCGGCATCTACATGATCACGCATAGACAAGGGTCTAAAAGCGTCAAGGGTACATTTCTTTATATACAATGCAGCTCTTGCCTCAGTAAAGAGACATTTATCATCTTCAGGATTGAAATCTTTCGTAAATTGAATACATTGGTCATTGGCCAATTGTGCCTGTGATCAAAGACAGACAATATCTGCACAGTCTTAATGAAACAGAAAAATCATATTTTAAACATTGAGCCTCAACGTACTTCTAAATGGTGCCATTACTGCATTGCAAACTGCTCTTTTTCTAACTTCATACATCATAAACAACTTGATATATTTACATAAAAATCATAACAGCTGCTTATCATCTTCACGAAGAGACATATTTTCCAGTGCTGTAGACAGCTCAATTTTAGAGAAGATAGCGTATGAAATTGGTCACTTTTTAAGACTGTGAACTCAAAGAGATTAACTTCAAGAGTTGATTAAATAAGTGCGTTGTACAAAGCATGCTTATCCAATTCCTGTCCTGAATATGTACCTGTAACTATGATTTATTGATTCACCTAAGATTCCTCGCACTGTTGAAACTAAAAAGGAAAATGGTAATAGCATCGTGCATGCTATTGCCGTTGCATGTGCTATGTGTGACTTTATTTAATATATATGTATATGTATATGTGTGACAAATGTGACAAATGAAAACATATAACATATATAGATTATTATATTTAATATATATAAATGAAAAAAAAATCAAATAGGCCTAATCTTGCCCTTCATTGTTCAATGCTATCTATACAGAGGATGTTATCCTTTGGGAAAACAAAAGATAAAGGTAATAGGTTTTGGTGGCACCATGCAAAAATATCTCTTTTGTGAATATAAAAACTCGGGTGTTAAAATCACCACTTTTGGGTGTTATCAGATGACCACACCATAGGGTGATACTTTAACACTGATGATGTTACTGTGCAGACCAGTGTTACAGTGCACTAGAAGGTGTTACAAGTAACACCAAATAACACCAAAATTTTAACACCAGAGAAAAGTGTTTGTGTAGTCTTCTGATAACACCGCGGATGTTAAATTTAACACCCCAGTTTGTGCAGTGATATTATTCTGAAAAGAACCAGAGGATGGTTCAGATGAATTTTGCATGATAGAGATCACTGTAATTCAGCTGATTTCAATATATTTGATCAAGGTTTGTCACTAAGTTTGGCTAGAAGGAAATTTGGAATATTATAATATTTGCAGACAAATTTGTCTTCCAGAAAAATAGAGACATTTTGATTAGATAACATCAATATCTGGGCACAGTTGCTCTACATGTACACATCCTTGACTCATCATAGGTGCTCGTATCACAGCTTGGGTTTGTCACGGCCGCAGTGGGTGTGCAGGAACATAACCATTTTAGGCCAGGAGTCCTCACTCGCTTTTGCCATTCCCCTCACAGTACCTCCATGGTCCACCACGCTCCCTGCAGTAAATTCACATAACCAGCTAAAAATTAAACTGAGGGTTTAATTTATCCCTTGAGGTCACACCCGGTGCAGGAGATTCTCTTTCACCCATGGACATCGCCCAGAAGGGGACAACTACCAATACATGAGTTAACGTATGACTTGTTTTAACTTTTTCCAGTGAGTGCGCGCTCATTCAGAATTCAATGACCACTATAACACTGTTAATACTTTCGGCAAAAATTATTTACTTAGGTGTCAATCCAATTGTGTGTCCTCAAGGTAATAGGAAACACAACTGTTTTTCTGGTCAGCCTCAGAACTTTAACATGGGCATCTTACCGGCAACATGGGAGTAAATCATGATGCCCACTGGTGCGTAAGGAATCTCTATCAGATGGCCAGCGTCTGGGTAGCGTAGCAGCTGATAGTTGTGACAGCCGTGTCTTGCTAGTCTCCGCATGGCCTCCTGTGCATAGTGGCAGCTGTTCCACGCTGCCTCGGCCTCCCCGGCGATGAAAAGGTACTGACAAGTTCGGTTATTTTCAATCTAAATGACAAGAAGTACCAGAGTGCAATATTATGACATTGTAGTTACACACTGGACAGCATACAGTACATGTACTCGGCATATGCCAAATCTATCCCTCTGTAGAAAATCCATGTGACTTCAAAGCAAAGCTTTGCACGCATTGAGCGGCATCATCATCAGCACCAATCACACTGAAATTAGCTGGAGTTTGTTTCTGCATTCAATTGGGGACCCTGAACAATAAAGGACAATAAGGTCCCCGATTGACAGAGGGTCAAACAAAAGAGGAACAATAGGGGGTCCCCAGTTGCAGGCAAATACACACTTGTGTGCGTGCGTGGAGGTCATGTATACTTTTCATTATTTGGCACGATTGCTCACACATAAGCTGTAAAAATTTGATGTCTGATGACGGGTCCTCTCCACTTTTGCATTGGCAACAGACAGGAAAAGTGACCGACGCATGCATGGCAAGTGGTGTAACAAAATGATTGTAATTCTGAAATGTTCCCCAAGAATGGATTCTTGCCCCATTCGATCATGGCACCACTGAATGCAATGCAGAGATTTCATGATGGGATTCAGCAAGATCAAGTCATTGGAGCTGTCTCAACAGAGTATCACAGCCAACTCTGTCGCTACCTATTCAGTAAAGCAGTAACCCCTATACGTCAACCCAAATCAGGGACAGTATTCACACCGCAGGACCATTTTTTGGGGGGGCTCAAATGGACGGACTTGCACACTGCATAGTGGGAAAGGGACAAACCACATGCATCTGCTTCATGGCAGTTAGCCCTGATCCTAAATCATTCTACCATCGACATCATCCATGCTTTTACGGCCAAATCTTGCAACCATCCTGTCTAGTTGTCACTGTACATGGACAACCAGATCACTCAAGGGGTTCCAACTGATGGATCTCACTCAGTGCTGCAAGAAGTAGATGCCTACCATTTTATCGCAGCCCTATTGTCAGCAGTGTTGTAGTTGAGACGTCTTAGATCAGACACAAGGTATGATGGTTTAGTCCCAGTTCATTTGAACAGCTTGAGACTTGAATTTATGGTCATCAGAGGTCTTGACTACTGTAGCCAGCGAAGCATTGCAAAAATAGGCCTCAATGGGGATAAACGTTGAAGATGCATGGACTGTATTAGAGTTCATGATTCCTCCTTAAGTAAGGGAAATATCTGTACCATGTTCCCATGTCATAATGTATAGACTCACAACTACACTGTACTTAGCAAAAACCCATTCCAAACCACTAACACCAAATGAGTACATGTAGTTGATTTCATTCAGAGTTGATGCTGAAGGACAGAATTTGATTAGTATACTTAGTAAAATCAGTTAGTCTCCCAGCACAAGTTTATGCTTAAACTCAGGGATGAGATTTGAGGAAAGAGAAAAATCCAGACAAAACTTTGCCTCATTAAGTCTGTCCCTCAATCCTCAAAACTTTGTCACACCACGTGTAGCCGTAGTTTACAAGTTGATTTTTTACGATTTCCAATAATATTCGTCTTCCCCTTGACTACCTCTTTTTCTACCTGACTTTCAAACTGCAAAAACTTCCGTGGATTTTTTTAAACCTCTGTCAAGTGAAAGATCTCCACCCTGATCAGCGACTTTAAATGACCAAAGGGCTTTTTTGATGAATAAAAGCAAAAATAAAAAAACGTACGTGACAAACATAAAATGACGCCTGACTTTTCTGTAAATGTGGCCAGTGGTGCGTTACTAGAAGCTGTGCCTAATCTAGATGGATAACGGTCAACTCGGTCCGTAACCAACTCGGTCCCAAGTCAATTCGGTCCCAGGTTATCTCGGTCCCAAGTCAACGTAGGAGCTAATTATTTCGTTGAGCGGTAGGCCTACATGATGGTCGGGTCACTTAACCCAAAACTGCACAAGATGTCCGATGACATTGGCAACATCCGCAATGTGGTTGGCATTCAGCTCAGGGTTGAAATAAGATTTCTGTTTGCATTTTGAAAGAATCAGGGAGGAAGGAAAAGACTTTTTTCTTCGCCTTTCAAGGTATAAGATTGAAAAAAAATATCGATTTCCGTTCATTATTCAGTAATTTTGTATTGTTTTAAAGACAGATCTAGAGGCATACATTTTAATTTCAATCTACACTAAGCTTGAAAGACTCTTGTCTATGCCGTGCTTGAAAAGTAGCCTCCTCGGTTGCAACTGCTAAATGAGACCGAGTTGACTTGGGACCGACTTGACTTGGCACCAAGTTTACTAGGGACCGAGTTGACTTGGGACCTAGTTGGCTCGGACCGAGATGGTTACGGACCGAGTTGACCGTAAAGCATGTAAAAAGGGGCCCCATCTACTGCATTCCAGTGGGAGCAACAAAAAAAATCTGTCAAGTCTCTTAAGAGACAGCATGTAAAAGGGGCCCCATCTTAAGTCTCTTAAGAGACAGATTTCAAATGAAAGCCATCAACAGCCCTACGTGTGGACCTACACTAGAGTGTGTGCACTAGTGAAACCTCAACATCCATAAGTCTTGCACTTACTTTTGTGCAAAATTTGGAAATTACTACTAATAATAATAACACAGTTTTTATAAAGAGCATCACACCAAAGTCTCGATGCGCTTCACAAGAAACAACAATTAAAAGCAATTAATGGAACAGGTAAGTCTTAAGGACTGCTTTAAATTCATTTTCGTTATTGACAGTTCTAATATGGTGTGCAAGAGAATTCCAAAGCTACATCTACCTCTAATTCCAGCAATGCCATGTCAAGAAGAAATGCCATGTCAAAAAGTAAAATGTGTAAGTCCTGAATACATTTTTCCAAAAATCCTCAAAAAATTCCAAGACCCCTTTAAACAGTGTCATCACGTGTATGCTGGGACTTACCCTGTAGATACGAGGGTCATCCTCATTGATATCATAGATGGCTTTGTAGGAATGAAATAAGCATTGGGCACCTTCTGTGGCTGCAGGTCTCACGTTGTATAAGTCAAACCTACAAGGTGAAAGATGTTGAAATGAGTATCTTCTTTTTCTCGTTGTCAGCTGAGAAAACAGAGTTTTCAAGATAACTATATACCACAACTACAGTCCTTGGCAAAGTCAAACTTTACAAATGCTGACAGGTTGTTTTGCGTTGAAGATTTATGTGTCAGTTCCTAGCACATTGTCCCTTTTCAAAACAATTTTGCTGCATGACAACTCTTCAGTGCCCAACCATGGCGCTTCAATGCTTGAGGGCTAGACGCCAGCCAAACTTCACGGACTAGATCCAGCCTCTGTGTGGTTCGTGTACAAGCACAAACCTGTGTACTACAGTGCTGCTCTTATCTGTCTCTCTATCTGTATGGTACAGAAAACCCCAATGCATTTACACATCTCCTTGTGAAAATGCCCGCTGCTCGGTGTATCATTCCATGGGGAGATGAAGTGAAAGGACATACAAGGGGACTACTCACGGCAGAAATGGCAATGCCTCTCCATTCAGTTTTAGGTCAACCATGGTATTGACGTGACAGCCATTGATTGTAACAGCTGCTTTCACCTAACAAAAAGGGGGGAAAACGACCCTCATTCTGTTGATGCACTAAATCTGATCAGTACTGGTCAACCTTTAAAGGAAAAGAACATCAAGCAACAAAGAATTTGGCATTTAGAGGTAAAAATTCTTGTGAATAACTTCATTCAAATCGTTTACGGCACCTACGTGTGAAAAGATTGTAGCACGATTTTAAGTATTCTGAAAGGTGGAACTGATTATTAGTAGATACATTCCTTCGATAGATTTTGCATTAAATGCATTGCTTGATTGTCACCCAACCCAATCAACTACTAATGTCAAGAACTCTCTCCCCAACTAATGTGGGTTGAGTCTACTACTGCATATGTACCAGATTACGAATACATATACATTATTTCCTAATAATTCTTTCCATTCATCTGACGATTATGACGCCAAAGACTGGATTGCAGGAACAAAGATTTGCGGGGGGTGGAAGGACGGCGTTTGATTCTTAGTAAGGAAGCATAACTCCGGAACAAGGCGTACCCCCAAAGGTTCCCATCGAATGTTACCCTAGGCTTTGGAGAGAGCCTTAATTTCGCAACCTCGACGAGAAGTCACCACCTTCAGTAAGAATGCCAGTTTGATGCTAAGGTGCAGGAGGGAGGCACGGCCCGCAGGCTCAAAGGGGGGCTGAGACAGAAGTCGGAGGACATCGTCAAGACAACACGCTGGAACAAGACGCTTCAGGGGAGGCCGCTCAATAAGCATTCCCCGTAAGAGATGATGGATCGCTATGTTGCTAGATATAGAAGAACCATCAGTGAAACCTCCGTGCACTGCCGCGATGGCCAAGCGGTAATTTCGAATTGTGGAGACAAGGAGGCTGGAGCGGAAAAGATGAACGAAAAAGTCGGTAACGACTGAAAGAGGTGCAACGGTCGGGTCCGCCAAACGCCCTTTGCACAATGAGTCAAAATGTGGTAATCGGCTGTCATAAATCTTTCTTGTGGACTCTCGTCGACCCTTGGCAGCCAAGGCGGCAGCGTCTTAAGAAAGGCCTTTCTGCTCGAAGGATCGCTTCCAACACTTTAAGTGTAGGTGAGTGGAGTTCGGATGCAGTAGACGAGACCTGGGTTGAAACAGCAAATCCGGACGTGGAGGTAGTAGTAGATCGGAAGCCTGACTAACCGGGAAAACCACACGTGTCTTGGCCAGAGCGGGGCGATGAGAAGGATGCGGCAATTGCATTGTTCGATCTTTGACAGTACCAATGGAATGAGTGATATCGGAGGGAAAGCGTAAGAGAGAAGGGCATCGAACGTCCATGCCTGGGGATGTGGATAGCGGCTTCAACATGTCAGCAGCTGAGCGTTTAGGTGAGATGCAAAGAGGTCCACGCGAGGCCTGTTTATCGCCCGAAAAAGCACTTGAACGATCTTTGGTTGTAGGGTCATCTCTGTCGGGTGAACTGTGCCCTGGAAGAGGGCGTGGGCAAGGGCGTTCCGTACTCCTGGAATGTGTTCGGCTTGAACCAGAATGGAATGCTACATGGTCCAGTGTAATAGGCGCCAGGCTAGGACGCAGAGGGTCAGAGAGGCCACGGCCGTCGCGTTGTCTGATCGAACCAAGACCGTTTTGTCTGTCATTATAGGCCGGAAGTGGTTGAGGACTTCGGAAATCGATTGGAAGCGTCGGTGGTGATAACCATCTCGTGTTGAGTTGGAACAAGGGGAATACCGGCAATGAGGTTGGCCCTGGCTGACCACCACGACAGCTGAGGCAAATCAGGCCTGATAGAGGAACTTGGTAATCGAAGGAATCTCTGGTTGGCCTGAAGTAAGAGAGAAAATGGAGCGGTAGAGGCCACATAAAAAGCTGGCACCACGGGACAAGGTCAATGAGGCTGGCCATCAGACCGAGTAAGAGGAGCCATGCCCGGGCGTTCGCTTGGTTTGTGTTGTCTCCTGAACAGAGCGACGCACTGCATGAGATTGTCCACGCGCTCGTCAGTGGGAGCAACAATGCAGCTGTTCAAGTCGAGAACCGCCCCGAGGAAAGTTAGTGTTTGTGACGGGTTCAGTCTGGACTTTTTGTGGTTGCTTAAGGAGCCCAGGCGAGATGCGATGTCGTACATTATCTTGGTCTCCAAGGCAGCTTCGACTTCGGAGCCTCCGACCAGTCGTTGAGGTACTGAAATATGAGCACGTCTAAGCGTCGTAGGTAGGCTGCCACCGCTCGGCCCACCCTTGTAAAGACTCTAGGAGCGGTGGACAGGCCGAAAGGCAGGGCGCGGAACTCGAAGACTAGGTGACGATATGAAAAGCGGAGGAACGGGCCGTCTTGTACATGAATGGGAATGGGAAGGTAGGCGTCCTGTAAGTTGATAGACGACGCCAAATCCGGGACGGGAAGTGATCGTAGGACGGTGCGCAGCGTCTCCATTCTGAACTTCCTTAGTCTTATGTAAACGTTTTGTGGCTTTAAGCTCAGAATCGGCCTCCACTTCCGGTTCCTTCTTCGGGGTCAGAAAGAACGTCTACATGAAGCTCTAATGATTTCCCCATGGCTGCACGAGAACAATGACGCGCTTCTCCGTCTCCAGAGCCTATCGCTGAGATTGATCTCTTGGAACAGGTGTCGGCCTAAAAGATACATCGTACGGAGGGCGACTCGTAAATTCCAGACGTCTTAAGTTATTTCTCCACAGAAACCCGCGAAATCGAGCAGGCGACCGCCAACGGGTTTGAGATTAGCGGCCGCGGGAGAAACGGAGTAGTCACTGGCGTCGGTCCCCGGCATATCACTGGAGGTGCCGGGTCATACTACCCTGAGGTCTCAGAGCACTCAGAGCCGGTGGAGGATGGACCGGTCGGGATGGCCTTTGGGACGTCGTTCGTACCACATCACGTCGAGGTTCAGCTGGCTGGCGGGGGGATATCTTCCGGGCGCCGTCAAGACGCTTAACCTCACTCTCCAGAAGACTAACATACTGGCCTGCAAAAAGATCCTTTGATAGCCAAAAGAGGGATTATTCGAAGAGCTGATTTCACTAACTCGTACGGGATATTCATAGCGTCAATGGAAGACTCACGGCTAGGAAAGCCAAACAGCCGATGCAAATCCATGAAGGAATTGATATCCTGGAGCGCTCCCTCAAAACGTCGCAGAGACTTGTCACCGAAGACATTACTAGGTTTGCGGCTAGTCAGCCGGGTACACCTTATCCTTAACAGCCAAAGGCGGATCGGGTACAGATAAGTAAGTATCATAATCGCCTGGTAGAAAGTTGAAGTACGAGCGAGAACGGTTGCCGCAATAGGCCTACCAGTCTTGACCTTCGCAAGCTTATCCATGGCTTCTACGCATGCGTGCTCCAGAGGAAGCTCTTGAAAGACAAGATGACAGGAGAAAGACGACCCTGGTGTGCGACGCTTGAACGAGGGGCGACTGAATCATTTCACGTTGGAGACAGATCATTAACCGAACAGGCTCTTCTCATCCTGTGACTGACCCGAATCAGAGACACGGTGGGCCAGGACCAGCGGAGAGATCAAGGGAATGGGCCTCAATGGACACCGGCTGAGAAGGCCAAAGAGACAAAGGAAGATCCCGTTGCCCCGTGTGCAACACAGAACGGGCCGGGTCGGGGAATAAGGATCCGGATCTGGATGCGTAGCGGTCGGAGGATGAGTATAATGCTAAATAAGTGTCGAGATAGACTCTATCAGAGCTCGCAGCGTATCTTTGGTAGACGGAGATTGACTTTTTCTCTTTTTGTTTGGAAGAGTGGACGGAAGACGAAGAGTGGCTTGGAGATTTGTGATTCTGCCCACTTCTGTTAATTGAGAAGAATCCTGTACAGGAGACGGGGCTGTGGGTTCATCCCGCTGCACCGAAGCCGGAGAAAAACTAGCGGACGCCACACCCTGTGGAAAGGGATCAGCGGTAGGGGGCGGCCAAAAGCCACTACGTCGTATTAAGCTGGTAGGCTTGGTATCCCCAGGTAAAGAGCGGGCTGGAGATGCCAGGGCCGGCCAGGTTCTGGACACTGAAGCTAGGTTTGTATCTTGACTGGAACGGTCCGTAACAATCGTCCCGTTAGTCACAGTCGTTGGGCGAAGAGCCATTGTCCAAAACAAACCAACCGCAAAGGACAAAAAAAAATACACAAGAAAATCTACCACGTCAAGCGGGTAACCCCCGGCCAAATTCGACGGACAGGAAATGAAAATTCACGGCTAAAGCGGTGAAGACCAGGCAGCAACCACGTGCAAGGTACATTGCTGCACAAGGGAAAGAGACCGCAAATAAATAGCCGAACAGCATTCTCTCACGCAGTAGACTGCCACTGTAATGCGCCGAGATCAGCCCCTATTCATCGGCGTTAGGGTCAATTCGAACGTGCTCCAACCGCAGGGAAACGTGAGGGTCAGGCACGTTGTTCGATGCTTGAAGCGACCGGTAGGGTGAGACGTGCTCACCAGAAAAAAAACATCCCTGCAGGTAACGGCTAACCAACGCTGAGGAGCCGAGCCGACTACGGGGTGCCGAGTCACGCCCTGAGCTGTCTGCCTTTGGGGTGTGCTCGCACGTGCTTCAAACGTGGGGAGTGGAAGCAAGCTGAACACGTTGGTCGATGCTCGAAGAGGCCGTAGGGTGAGACCCGCTCATCGGAGAAATCCCAGCACTGGGGCAATACCAAGGTCTAGCTGTTACGGTATGCCGAGTTTTGAGCTGCCCGAGCGCTTCCGCAAATGGCAAACTCAGCTACGCTCCCAAAGGCAGTAGTGGAGCGTAGGGGCCAATAACGCCCCAAGCTCGATGAAGGCTGTATATAACGCTCGTTGACACACCGACGTCTGTTACGGTGTGCTGAGACTTGAGTCGCCCGAGCAGCGCCTCAAAGGCAGTAGTGGAGCGGAATCGGACCGGAGATACCGTATCTCAGGGTCCGCGTCCGTGCGGCGAAAGTACCATAAAACACCAGTACCGCTGCTACGAGCTCGCGAATTTTACTCGATGCTCGAAGAGCGAACTCATATGTTCGAAAGTACAGTACCGGAGTAAATGAGGGTATCGTACGGCCGTACCCCGGACTGGCCGAAGGGAGGGAATAGTAAACCACGCATTGTTCTATTCCCTAAATTAGCAAGGACCGAAACCAATTAACGCACCGTTAACTGTCCCTGCACCACTGCACCACTAGCTATCGCCTGCTGTCCGGCGATAAGAAAAACAAGCAAAGATCAGAAAAAACGAAACAACTGCTCTTGATAATAATAATACTGATAATAAAGATGCCATAATTTAGGGTGACTCACAGAGTATGTACAGGAAAACAGAACAAATAAGCACACGTACACAGTTCATTCTGGCACAACAATAAAATGTATTTATGTCAAAACAACAGCCCCACCTGGGCGAACTCGGAAAGGTCAATTAAAGGTCAGCCTGCCACCGGCGCGAGACTGAAAAGGGAACCGTAACGTATTCTAGAAACAGAATGAAAGAGGAACAATCTTACCGTTCACAAGAATTAGAACACATAAATAAGCAAGGTGATCAAGGAATAACACCGAAACATGTGTTATAGAAAAGGAAAAAAACTTCCAATAATTCGGAGCCAGAACAATACGCTCCGTAACGTAATGGTGCCAAGTAAAAGAGGACTAACATGGCCGACGCCTTCGCGGGGGGGGGAGTGAGTGAGACTGCACTATTAGTAATCGAGATTTTAGCGAATGGACGTTATGGACTAGGAAATAATGCATATGTATTGGTAATCTGCGTAAGATTTTTCAACTCTAAATATATGTATAATATCAATTAAATATCTAAATTTTTACAGGCTTCATGGCAACAGTTTGAGGTGACCAGTACCTAATATTGAAAATTATTGGCAACGTGTTTTATGTAACCTTACACAGAATTTAAAGTTATGGGTCATAAAAAGCTCTGAAGCCCTGCTTAATGCACCAATAAACCTAATGATACATCAGAAGACAAAGTTCATCTCTGTAATAAGAGGATATACATGTACTTGAAGGCAGGCTTGACAAATGCAAGTTTTATTCTGTTTAATTCTGTTTAGTCGGTCTTCCAAGCTGCATCACAAATTGCCTATTCTGACAAAAGCATTTTGTTTTCACCTTGTCTGGAAAATGTGAAGCTGTGGCCAAGACCATCTGTGCGCCCAGTGATACCCCAACCAATCCGATACCGCCCGGCTTTACAAAAGGCTGGCTGCTCAACCAATCAACAGCTTCCTACATGCATGCACAAAATGCCAAAGTCTGGTTTCCTGCTAACAAATTACATGTTGCACTTCAACTATGACAAATAGTGTTGATACAACTAACATAATGCCCAAAGTCTGTGAATGTCAGGCATCTTTCTGTGCAGCAATTAACAAAGACTCTCATTGTTTTGAATAATGTAGGTCAATTCACCAGTTGCAAGTCTATAAAATACATGTATCTGAAGTTCATCTTCTGTTCGATTTTGGTCAAACCATGAAATATTCCAGTTCCAGGTCCCACATGTGCTGCGGCAGGTCATCATATCTGAAGTATGGCAGAGCATAGCCGACTAGGCCATGAGATGCCAACATGGCCGCCCGAAACTCTGTAAGCCCTCCCACGGATCCAAACATGTCAATCACACCGGGGAATGGACCAGGGCCTGAAAACATACAACAAACGCCATGTGATCCAACCTAACAAAACTATAGTCAAGTCACCAGGTGAACTATTGAATGAAAGTCCTTACAGAGAATTTTTCAGCATATGTTATCGATAGGAACTCTCAACACTTTTTAGCAACATACTGTCCATTTTCAGCAGGGTGTCCAAACAGGTCACATACCTAAAGAATTAATTTGCTTTTTCTCGCAAATTGACATAGACTTACCAAAACTATAGCCTTAAAACTCACTCTGTGGGATCTGGTCATTGAAAACAATATAACTCGTAATGTGAGATTTACCTTTTTCTTAACATACAGTGTATTTTGTTGCATAAGCAAAAGAAGTGTGGAGGACCGGACAAACAGGTAGAGAGTCAATAACGTACCCCCCCTTGAAGCCCACATTTTTGCCAAAATTGATTCATTAAGTACATTTTACTTAATGAATCACGAGTACCGTTTTAGCATATTATATTATGCAAGCTTTATATTGTCAGTTGGAAATTGATGCATACTTCAACATTTGCATGGACACATCTGTGCTTTTATAGTCATGTCCTATAGGACGTCGACATTGCACAGATGTGCCCATGCACATGTTGATGTTTGCATCAATTTCCAACTGACAATATAAACATGCATTCTCGTGTCCAAAATACAGGCCTAAAACTTCTATGTACATACATGTAAGTTAAACGTAACAGTCCATCGTACCAGTAGCTGGTGGTATAGTTGGCACCCTTACCAAATTGCAACTTCGAACTTCAGCCGACAGTATCATTTTCTGTCCTAAACCCATCCCTTGACAGAGGCTAGACATATTGGCCAACTTTCTATCTGCCGCCAATTGTACAGTAAGTTCCATCTGTAACACTTGGGAGTCATTAAGGCACAGTACGTATGTTGCATATTTCTCAATGATCAGGGCTCATCTCATCCCATCCCCAAGACAAAGAGAGGGGAAAACTTCAATCCCTTGGGAATTTACATCCAAACTGTTATTCCGAACGTTATTGTATACTAACTCAATAAGGGCAGCGTTAACGGCATGAAATGTCAACTTTTCAGACCCTCCAACCCCGTCCGTACCCATGGCATATGCAGTGGCTCCAACTCCCCTCCTCCCTGATCGTATACTCATTCCACATGTACAATTCCGAAACTCCCGGCAGCTGGTGTTTTTGTCATGAGTAATGTTACAGTTTACTTGTGATGGCCGTGGCATGAGAGGATAAATGGTGGGGTGGATGGTGGAAAATACTAAAGTTGAATTTTGACGCACAAAATTAAAGCTGCTTCTGGTATTTGAGCATGGTGAATGCAACGGCACCACCCCTGCTTCGTGCGTACGCACTTTATGGACCTGCTCATTATGCTCCTGTTAAACGATATGTGGGTGTTTGTATGTCACAGCCTTCAAAGATTAAATAAAGCCTCCATACATGTAATTAATCAAAGACATTGCAAACATACCCTTGGGTTTAAATACAGATCCCCTCAAACGGCCGCAGCGAACTGTGATCCTCTCTACGTCCTGTCCCATGTACCACCTCTTGACTGTTGCAGTGGCCTCCACTTCAGCCGTCTGTAGTGCCTCCGTGTTCAGATGGCCCCGGTGCAATGACAAATGGACAATCATAGGCTTTGTGACATCTTTGACAATGTAGCGGACGCCGAAGCGTTGGCCCGGTGAGGGGCGCATACTCCAGAACAGGCCCATGGTTTCGGCTCCTAGAAATGAACGGGCAGGTCTGAAACTTGATACCCTGGTTTTCTGTTTTGGTCACTTCAAGGTGGCAGTGTGTCATTTTGTGCAGCTGTGCGGCACATCGTCCACGTTATGGCCAAATCATATTTATCATTACAAAGGACTCATAAATCACATTCTCCCGCTAGCTTTCTGAATAAAAGAGATGAAAACCTTCTCAGGCAAGCCTGTGGGGTCATTTTTAGGTGGTCTCTCACAGATTTTTTTCCACATTGCCAGAATCGGATTCGGGGGAGGGGCCTGGCTCTTTTAATTGGAGGTCAGTAAACTTTCTACTGGGCGCCAGACACGTTGACAATGATAAGAAGCAGCGACTCAGTGGCTTGGCTCACTTTTACAAGAGGGGAGAGGGTATTTTCTTCACAATCATGTAGCAGACACGTGGTAGCAGTGAGTACAAACATTTGGGCGCAGCACTTTGCGCACAAACAAATCGGAGTGTAGGTTTGGCCTGCCCTGTTTCAGTGACTGTCCCGATGACTCCATTAGCAAACCCCCTCTAAATGTAGTATCAGGGATAGTTAGAAGCATTTGGTGGAACGAATATATCACTTGATTTATGGCCATTCTGTAGCCGACCTATCTCCTCGGTCTATTTCAAAGCAAACCGGGTGTCAAGATGCAGACAGTCGTAGAGGAGACGGTGTTTATATTCCATAAAAAAATCAGCCAAATGACATCAACAATTTTTTTGTGTGTGAAATGACAGATTGCAGTTAAACTAAGCTAAAAGGCTCCTCCAATTTGGAGTATTATGCATGCATTCATGTATGGTTGACTATTTCCTGACAATTAATTCAGAAAATGGGCAAAATGTGTGGTATACTGAGTGAGACAGATGTTGGACAGCCATCATGCCAGTATGCGTGTCTCTATGGACCGACATGTATATGGTACATGTTCGTGTACTCTGGCAAAGTTGAACATGATTTAACCACGGACCATTTGATTTAACTTTCCTGACGATCGATCTGCATGGATCCATGCTTGCATTAGTTGTTATCATCAAGTAGGAAATGTTTCAGCGGCAAAAGGCAATAGAATGATTATCAAGCCTTGTAGCTGTTACCTGTATAGGTCCCTCCTAGTGAAATCTGGTCGGGTACTGACACCACACCTGTACTGTCAGCGATGTAATGGGCGTGGCCCTCATACTTCACCACACCACTCGGCATTTCCTGCTTAGAGACAGACCTGACCCCAAAAACATGAAAAGGGAAAAACTGTACTGCAGGTCCCATTACACTGATTATATTAAACAACAGCATACCAAATGTCTGGAGAAATAGAACCCAATATGGTGTATGTCACTACGGATAGGGCAATTAGTATGACCGAATTGTATGCATGCAAAACTTCTGACGGCTTGGCCAGAGATAAAAGCATGCACTGCAACTATATTGAAAATAACTTTAAGGGAAGGGTGGACATCCGCACCCCACACTCCATCTCCTTTAGGGCTACTGGTAAGCCTCACCAATTGGTAGGCAGGTGTAAATTATAGTTTGACTGCATAGTCAAATCCCTTTTAACAGTGGCAACTCAAGTTCAAGCAACGGCTATGATTTGACAAACACCGCCCGAGCCACTGATTATTTGGACAAATTTTATTTAGAGTCATGTGAAAATATGACACAATTTCATTGACCTTATAAAATGTGCAAATCGCAACCAGTGGCAAAATATGAGTAACAATTAGATTTTTTAAAAGGCTGGTTTTAAACATAACAGTATTGTGCGAGAAAATTATTAAAAAGCATATGACTTCATGAACTGCATCAGGACTAAACTCTAACCCCATGGTGTAACCATAATTTAAGTCCATCATGTATACAATCATGTACGCGTATGTCAGTGTGCACCTGGATCAGTCGGTAACATTAAAAAATGATGCAAATATGAAATATAATTTAAATTCACGCATCTTTCAGTCAACAGAGCCTGTGTCAGCGGAGCTTAACATCAGTGTCTACTCTATGAAGAAGGCTCTTGATAAACTCTACGTTAGCAAAGCCAAGGGTCTGACGAAATCCCTGCATGTATTCTTCGTGAATTTTCAAATGTTCTTGCTGCTTCTCTTCTTGTTCCTCTCTCACAGTCAGGTTATAGAGGGTGTACCGGTTTTTCCCACGAGCTGCAAGACTGCAGATGTCATCCCCGTACCAAAGATATTTCCGCCCACGTCAGGCCAATTTCACTGTCACCCATTGCTGCCAAAATGTTTCAATCTATAGTACTCGAGCAAGTGTCTAGTAAAATCAAGGGCAAAATAGACACAAACCGATTTAGCTGCATTCCTGGGACTGGTACGACTGATGCACTTGTGGAAATAAAAATGTCTACATAGCTGTAGCAAGTTTTAGATAAATTGGATGATTCTGTTTTCATTTGCACTGCTGTTTTTTAGCAATTTTTAAATTAAGGCTTGGATATTGAAATATTGTATTTTGAAAAGGTGTTTTAGATTGTATTATGTATCTAAATTCGGTTGCAGATAAAGGTAGTCAGAAATCATCGTCATCATGATTAAGAATGGGGTACAAGTCAAAGAGGGTTTGTATTCCTTTCTGTAGGGAGCGTGGATGTGAAATATTACATGTATAACCCAGCACTTGTGCCAGTTTCTCGCTTTTCTGAGTATAAAGAAACCCCACCTTTGATCGCTGTTAATTTTAATGGTATGTACATGTACAGTCTCAGCTTTTTATGGTGAGTCTGAAAGGCGCCACCGCGCGACGGAGGCGGCTCAGGCTGATCTACCGCCTCTGTCAGATCAGTTGGTTCCTTTCGACCGCCAATCCACGGGTAACATTTTTGCAGTTTTGTTTTCTTATGAGTGAAATATTTCATATGCCCTTAGTCCGGAGAGCCTCGGGAATAATTGTGATAGTTCAGATTGGGCAAACTGTTGCATTGTCCCTGCCATTCGGGAGATTTCGTTTGTGAACTTTGACCAAGATGGCGACCTAGTGGTCTTTTTATGGGGACCTCTAGGTTATAGAAATTGCTGTAAATTTTCCCAGTTATTACATTCGCCAGCAATCTTAAGTTGACATGATGGTCTTGCATTTATTTTTTTCATGAGGCATTGTAGTGAGACGTCAGACCGGAACACTGTTGTCTTTTAAAGCAAAGTCCGAGATTTTTATGTTAATTCATTGCTCGGATAAGTTTACTATAGGCCTACAGCGCCGTCTTTGTTCAGTGAAGTCGCTAACCACGAGTGAATGGACTTAATGCATGTCATTATACTTTAAGAGATGGAGCGTAGTACCAAGACACCCTTGTTTGTGATGAATATGGAACTCAAGTATGTGTGTCTTCCTTATTTTTGCTTTGCAGAATTTGCATTCTGATAATCAAATTGTCCTTTATGCTGCTTTACGGGTAAAAAAAAATATGGATTTTGTTCTGTCAGGTGGTTTTTCATCTACCCCTTCCTGGTCTGCTATGGCACTAGCATAACACTTGTATTTTCTTGCCCTATGTAACCTTTATTGAGCTCCCTTTGTATTAGGGAAATTGTGTACTCTTACCTGGACGACTTTGAAGAAATAACTGTTCTATTTTAGCTCCAACTATTCAATTTATTGCTTGGTGTCTGTCATAGCCTGTCCATCGCTCCCTTTAAGTAGATGTATTGTTTTCCAGTGCTGGCATTAGGTCACCTTATTATGTACTTATGATCCCTTTATTCTTATTCCTTTCTTTCTTATGTGCTGTATCCCATGCTGATCGACCGCCTCTTCCATATCGGTCGGTGCCTTTCGACCGCCACTTCACAGTCTCCAAATAAAAGTTTTCATTCAGCAGTCAAGCCGAACACAAGAGTGTCGCGGGCCAGTTGTTTATAATCCCATACCATTGGACGCTGTGTCCGTGACCGCTTGCACCAGAAGTGTCAGAAGTGGGATAGACTGCATCAGTGAGGAGTGAATCGCCTGCCCGGTAGAGGTGAACAGCATAGTCTATATTGCACTTGAAGTAATGGTAGCATCATTCAGGGTGAAAGGACCGGGGGAGGCTAAACCCCTCCAAGTTAGTCCAGTCGACGGCAAATTGCCGTTAGCTACCCTACAAAGCTATTGGATGAATGCAACCGGATTACTGCAAACCAGTGATGAGGAAGACACCATCCTTGCCCTAGTTGATGGTGTGGTGATGCCCCCAGCTGGAGGGTGGACGGGCAAAGGGGTGTACAAGCCGATAGTAAAGCAGGTGAAACAAGAGGTTGGACTGCCTACTAATCCGTGCATTGTGGTTATTGCCTCAGAGCGAAAGATCCCCACTTTTAGTGGTCAGGAGGATCCCCACAAGAAAGGCATCCACTATGGACGAATATTTGCTATTCAACATGTTGTGAAGCGTTACAATGTACCTGAGGACCAACAGAAACAGGTTTTACTGGATGCACTCAAGGCAGGTCCTAAAGTCGAGGCCAAGGCACAATTTGCTGCAGGGGCCCAAATGGACGAGGCCTTTCGGTACTTAAAATCATCCTATGGAAAACCTCTCACAACCACCGAACTGCAGCGGCGGTTTTTAGAGCGTAGACAGGACCTTGGTGAATCTGTGACGGACTTTGCAGTTGCCTTGCAGAAAATCTTCTTGCTTGTCCATAAAAAGGATCCTGTCCTCTTTAAGGAGCCTGGTAACATCATCCGAGATCAATTCGTGGATGGCTTGCGATCAGAGGCATTACGCATCCCCACCCGAGATCTTCTGGACAGGCGTGCAGATATACCTTTTTGTGAACTGAAATACTGGGCCATAAAGAGGGCTGATAGCGAGCAGCCTTTTGCTGTTGCCGATAAACCGACCTGTGGCCGCCACTGTACAAGCCAGGATGCCGTCCAGAGAAATGGAGTGGGTCATGCAGTCGTTACAGGCCCTCCACCAACCTAAACAACCACCAAGAGCACAGCTGCCTGCTGAGCGCCACCAGCGCTGCTACAACTGCTACAGTGAGGGGCATTTTGCTAGGGAGTGTCCAAGGCCCGTCCAACAATATGGCCCCCGTTTCCCCCGGCCGGCATACGTACCTACGAGTCCGCCTGACCAAGCCGGAGGTTATCCTGTTCAAACTGCTACACAATCTACCCCGCCTTGTGCCCAGCTGCCAGTAAACTACCACCCTCGGCTGCCAGGAGCCAGTCGGCTAGAGGGGCAACAGCTGGTTCCAAGACCCTCACTCCTCGAGCAGTAGGTAACTGCCATTCTGTTAATGTGCTGTTTGGGACTACTCCGCTAGAGTGCCTGCTTGATACCGGATCAGTGGTGACCATTGTCACGGAGGGTTGCTATCATACAATTTTCGAGCCAAACGGGTACCGACCCCAAGACATCCCATCCAGTTTTCACCTCCATGCTGCAAATGGAGTAAGCACCCCCTACGTTGGCTTCATTGAGGTTGACATCACAGCCTTGGGTGTGACTCTCCCAGACAGATTGGTGCTGGTGATCCGTGAAGCCAGAGAATCCTCCACCGATACCCCAGGAATACTGGGGATTAACTTCCTAGCAGAATGTTGGTCGACAAAAGTTACTCCAATGGCAAATGAACACTTAAGGCTACTCCAGTCAAGTAGGGGCAGTAAAGGGATATGGAACAAGGCAATGATGGCAGCAGAAAAGCATGTCAAGTTTGAGAGTATTCTGGGGCCCATCGGCCGGGCTTATCTGCCTCATGACACAACCCTTGCTGTACCGCCGCGACAGGTTGCAGTTTTCCAGGCATCAGCTCAGCCTGGCCCAAATGGGTTGAGTTACTGCGCCGTTTTGGAGCCAGACAGTGCCGCTAACCTGCCACCAGCCATTGGTCTGAAAGGTGCAATCGTCCACGTTGTAAAGGATAGATTTGCGGTTGCCCTTATCAATGAGACAGAACAAGAGGTTACATTACCCCCCCCCACGCATGCATCGGTACAGTACATTGCATTGACTAGGTTGAAACCTGCAGGGACGATCCGGAGGAGGTCCTACAGAGGGCCCACGAAGTGGAGTCTCCTTCGGTGAGTGCCAACTGCAGTGAACCAGACTCTGCGATATTAGACGCATTGAACCTGGGAACGACTCACGCCAGAGGAGAAAACAAAGTTCAACTCCTTGCTTCAGAAGTATGCAGGGGTGTTCTCCCAACATGACTTAGACCTTGGATACACTGGTGCAGTGGAACACCCGATCGACACTGGAGACACGCCACCAATAAAGCAACGCTACCGGTCTCTTCCTCCATCACATCATAGAGATGTTTGACAACACATCAAGGAGCTGTTGGATGCGGGTATAATTCGTGAGAGCAACAGCCCATGGGCCTCCCCTATTGTGGTGGTGAGGAAGAGGGACAAATCCATACGTCTATGTGTGGATTATTGCAAGCTTAATGCGATGACGACAAGAAGGTCTTTCCCTCTCCCCGAATTGATGAGTCCCTGCAAGCCTTGGGAGGTTCCAGGTATTTAAGCGTGCTTGATATGACATCCAGCTTTTACCAGGTGGCCATGGCAGAGAAGGACATGGAAACAACAGCTTTTGTCAGACCATTTGTTTTGTAGGAGTATGCAAGACTCCCATTCGGGTTGTGCAACAGCCGGTGCTTTCCAACGGGTGATGCAGTGCTGCCTCGGGGACCAGGCGCTTTCAAGTCTTCTTATCTACTTCAACGATGTCATCGTGTACAGCGACAGATTCGATGAGCATCTAGTCCGCCTAGAGCAAGTTTTTATCCACCCACAGCAGCATGGCCTGAAGCTGAAGCCACGGAAGTGCGGGTTTTTCAAGAAGGAGGTGAAGTACCAGGGGCATCTCGTCACAGCAAGAGAAGGCGTAAAACCAGACCCCAATAAAATAAGCATTGTGGAATGATGGCGAGAAACTACCAACATTACTCAGCTACGCTCATTCTTGGGTTTCGCAGGTTTCTTTCGTACGTTTGTCCGGGGATTCTCCACTGTTGCAGGACCCCTCCTGCGATACTTGAAGGGGACTACTACAAAGGGAAAGGCTAACATAGGGAAGAAGAATACATCCCTGGACAAGCCAGCCCGTGCCGCGTTTCAAGCACTCAAACAGAAACTAGTGGGAAGCCCAGTTCTGAAGTCTGCAGATTTCTCGCTCCCTTTCATAGTGGAGACCGATGCCAGTACTTGTGGGCTAGGAGCAGTGTTGTTGCAGCAACAGGCCGGTGGATCAAAGGCAGTGATAGCATATGCTTCCAGAACCTTGAGGCGTGCAGAACGACAAGGCAGGAATTACAATGTACTCGGCTTTCAAACTGGAACTTTTGGCCATTCGCTGTGCCATTTGTCAAGCTTTCTGCTACTTTGTTACTGGAAACAAAACCATCATACTCACAGACCACAACCCTCTGAGGTATCTCGACACAGCAAACCTGAGAGTAACGGAGCTCCAATGGGTACAGTGGTTGTTGTCCTTCGATTTCAAGCTGGACTAACGACCAGGGAAGAATAACCGTGCAGCTGATGCCCTGTCTCGACTTCAAACAGCAGGCAGCCATGGACCGGATGACGGTGACATGGCTCTTGAGTTTAAGCCGTCTCTGCTGTTGTTGGCAAAGGGGAGGGAGCCACTTCCCCTGGTGCTGTGCCCCCAGATTCGGTTGACTGAGTGTAATGGGAGCCTCAGCCTGCCTGGTTATACTCCACAGGAGTTGCGACGATTGCAGCTTGATGACATAGTTTTCTGTCGGGTGATAATGTATCTTAGGAGGGGGCAGAAACCCACTGCAGGGGAGAGGAGAATAGAAACCGCCGAACCGTCAAAAAGCTCTTAAAACACTGGGATCAATACTTTGTCCAGGATGGGGTTCTCTTCCGTCAGTGGACACCCCGTGATGGTCCACCAGGAAAACGGATAGTTGTCCCAGCAAGTCTTGTTGGTACGGTTTTGGGGAGTTTCCACGACGATGGGGGACACTTTGGAGCCAAGCGCACACTGCTGCTGATAAGGCCCCTCTTCTTTTGGCTTAAGATGGAGGCCGCAGTTAAGACCTGGTGCGACAGGTGCAAAGTGCGGAATAAGCAAACCACCGAGCAGACACACTAGGCCTCCCATGGGGACACTACGTACCACGGCCCCTTTGGAAGTGCTCGCTGTAGACTTTACAGTGTTGGAGCCGTCATCTGGTGAATACGAGGATGTCCTCATACTAACTGACGTCTTCACCAAGTACTCTTGGGCCATACCCAGCAGAAACCAGCGAGCCGAGACTGCGGCTAAAGCCTTGGCTAAACACGTCATAGTCCCGTTTGGTGCGCCTCCGCATACACTCCGACAGTGGCAAATGCTTCGAGGCAAAGGTGATCAAAGAACTCTGTGATCTGTATGGTACTGGCCACTCGCACACTACTCCCATCATCCCCAAGGGAATGGACAGTGCGAGCGGTTCAATAGAACGCTGCACAACCTCCTCGTCACACTCCCTACCGCGAAGAAGACCAGATGGACAGACAGTCTCCCGTCATCTCATCGCACTATACAACAATACCACCCACTCCTCAACTGGTTATGATCCAGCATTCCTGATGTTTGGAAGGACGCAACGCCTTCCTCCACACCTTTCGCTCGGTGTGGATCTCCCTCAGGTGTGTGGCGAAACCCCACACCAGTACGTGCAGAAGCATTGCAGGCAAATGGCGAAGGTTCGGGGGTGGCCACCGCCAACTCAGACAAGAGTGCTGCTGTGAGGAAAGCCTCCAACGACAAGGACATCTTTGAACGCCCACTTAGTCGAAGCGAGTATGGCCTAGTCCGGGATCGATCACATCGGGGCAGAACTAAGACACAGGACTACTGGGAACCCGAGCCCCACTTGGTAGCGGAGTGCCCATATGAGGGTCAACCAGTCTATAAGGTCCAGTACCGCAATTCATATGGCCGAGAAAAGGTCCTTCATCGCATGGAGCTGAAACACTGCCCATGGGATGTCTACTTCAGAAATTTTGAAGCCCCAACCGACCAGACGTCAGAGTCTGACTCTACAAGTTACTCAACACTGAGTAGTGTCAACCGATGGGGGGGTGCCGCGTATGTGGGCACCAAAAGCTGATTAAGTTAGCGGTGCTGCTGCAGCACCACGAAACTCAGATGGCCTACCTCCTGGTGGTTCACCTGCAGTCGGTCCTGGGCAAGACGACACAGTTGCTGGAGTAAGTTTGGACACATACGGCATGACACCCCCCCCAGAAGGCAACCCCAGTCTCTCATTGTAATGTGGATGTGCAGACAAACCTCCCAGAGCCAGAGTCAAACACCATTCAGCGAGGCACAACTGACCCAGTCACAACTGATATAGCCACCACTGGAACTCAGAGACCACCCAGACGTTCTCGCCGTTTGACTAAGGGCCGACCACCCATGAGGTACCAGTCAAGTGTTTTCCATCTACTTGACCAAGTCAAGCAGCTAGTCAACAACGAATCAGAGTCGGACTCCCCTGACACCGAGTGACAGCTATTCCAGGACTCATCCCTACTTCTTGCTGCTGGTTTGTGGTACATGAATTCGGCAAATAATCTGTTTGTTAAAATGTGTAGTATGTTGAAAACTCTGGGGTTCCGTTTCAACCCTTTCGAAATGATGTAACTTGAAATCCAGGTTTAGTAGTTAGTGGTTACTTTTGACCTGTTATAAACAGTTTTGGTACTAACCTCCTTGTTAAAGTTCATACTGTGTTGAACGCTGTTAGGGTTTCATTACAACTTCTTTGTGGTTGCCTTTGCCCTATAAAAAGGGTTTTGTACACATTGCCCTGTTTTTGCTCGACAGTCCTCGAGGGCGACGACACATCGCTGTTGGACGATTGTAGGGAGCGAGGATGTGAAATTATTACACATAACCCAGCACTTGTGCCAGTTTCTCCCTTTTCTGTGTATAAAGAAAACCCACCTTGGACCGCTGTTGATATCTATTGATGTACAGTGTCCGCATTTTATGGTGAGTCTGAAGGGCGCCACCGTGCAACGTAGGCGGGTCCTGCTGATCTACCGCCTCTGTCATATCAGTCGGTGCCTTTCGACCGCCACTCCATAGGTAACAATTTTTCAGTTTTCTTTTCGTATGAGTGAAATATTTCATATGCCCTTAGAGCGGAGAGCCAAGGGAATAATTGTGATAGTTTAGATTAGGCAAACTGTTGCATTTTCCCTGCCATTTGGGAGTTTGCATTTTATGAACTTTGACCAAGATGGCGACCTAGTGGCCTTGTTATGGGGACCTCTCGGTTTAGAATTGATGTAACTTTTCCTAGTTATTACATTCGCCAGCAATCTGGAGTTGACATGATGGTCTTGCATTTCATTATTTTTTTTTCATGAGGCATTGTAGTGAGACGTCAGACCGGAACACTGTTGTCTTTTAAAGCAAAGTCCGAGATTTTTATGTTAATTCATTGCTTGGGTATGTGTACTATATAACGCCCTCATATATTGTTCAGTGAAGTCGCTAACCATGAGTGAATGGACTTAATGTATATAATTATGCTTTAAGAGATGAAGCGTAGAACCAAGACACCCTTATTTGTGATGAATACGGAACTCAAGTATATATGTGTCTCCCTTATTTTTGCTCTGCAGAATTTTGCACATCCTTAATTTGCATTCTGAGATCAAATTGTCCTTTATGCTGCTTTAACGGGTAAAAAAAAATATGCATTTTGTTCTGTCAGGTGGTTTTTCATCTACCCCTTCCTGGTCTGCTATGGTACTAGCATAACACCTGTATTTTCTTGCCCGATGTAACCTTTATTGAGCTCCCTTTGTATTAGGGAAATTGTCTTACCTGGGTGACTTTGAAGAAATAGTTGTTCTATTTTAGCTCCAACTATTCAATTTATTGCTTGGTGTCTGTCATAGCCTGTCCATCGCTCCCTTTAAGTAGATGTACTGTTTTCCAGTGCTGGCATTAGGTCACCTTATTATGTACTTATGATCCCTTTATTCTTATTCCTTTCTTTCTCATGTGCTGTATCCCATGCTGATAGACCGCCTCTGTCATATATAATGTCCGAATATAAGTTTTCATTCAGCAGTCAAGCCGAACCCAAGAGTGTCACAGGCCAGTTGTTTATAATCCCATACCATTGGACACTGTGTCCGTGACTGCCTCCACCACATTTCCACGCGTTAAGCATGCGATTTACACATTAGGTTCAAAGAATCAATGGTAATTCAAATGACATGGCCAAGGATGGGTATAAAACCCTTGCTGGACAGTCTTGGTTCCAAGACCTAGTCGTACTTTGGTGTTTCTGACCCGTTGCCACAACTGCATTCCCAGGATGCGTGACAAGCATCTGTTTGTAGTACGTCTCCAAGGTGCGAATCTGTGATCGGTACGGAGTCCAGGCCTCACAGCCGTACAGAGGATGGACACGCAGACTGCATTGAAGACCGCTGTCTTTGTTCCGAAGGTTAATTTTCGACGACTCCAAGCCCAAATATGTGCACATCAGTCTGGAGTCTTCGACTAACAGTGCGCTGATGACACAGTCCTCGTCAGGCACTCTCATGAAAACCTACAGTAGTCACTGGACGTGCTACTATACTCGCGTGCGGGCCTGGCTAACTGTGACAAGACTGGGGTGCTGCAGCAGCTCCTTGGCAACCGGCGTGCCCGCTCCACTTTCGCCGTGCGGGAGCAGGAGCTAAAAAAATAGCGACACCTTTGTCTACATTGAAACGGAATTGTCTGACAATCTTGACCACCAGATGGAAATCCATTGTAATATCTGCTGTGCTGCGTCAGCGTTAGTAGGCTCTCCTGTCGAGTCTTCTTCAATCATAGGCTAAAGAGGCTGCCGTCCAGTCTCTATCTGACTTGATGATGCCACAGTCCGCATAGCCTTCTAGCTCTAGGTGGGTATATATCACACGCATCACTGATGCCAGGAATAGGATAAATAGGACTGGAGCGAGTCCACAGACCTGTTTCACTCTAACAGCGACTTGAAATGGTGCCAACAGCTCCCTAGAGTACTACACCGGAGCAACCACATCGTCACGGAAAGCACGCAGCACGGCAGTGAACCTCGGAGGACAGCAAACCTTGTTCATGATGCCCCGCAGTAATTCAAGGTTAACAATGTCGAATGCCTGTGATCGATGATATGAAGGCGGCGTACAATTCGTGGTGCTACTCCCGGCATTTTCCTGTATTTGGCGCATGACGAAGATCATGTCCACAGTCGAGCGTCTGTGGCGAAAGCCGCACTGAGACTCGGGGAGGACATTGTCCCCTAAACGGAATATGATTTTTAAAACAAATGACGGTGGTCATTAAAAATCACACAAACCCAACAAAGTAACACTTGGGCACCGTTTTGATTGATCATTAAAAAGAGATTAAAAATTGAAAGTTTAATTTCAATGACTTTAATTTAACTAAGTTTCCCAGCACATTGAAAGCATCATTCAACTTAAATAATTTGGAGAAAAGTAACAGAAAAAAATGGGCTTTTGCAATCTGTCAAAAGCATGAAAAGTAACTTTCAAAGCAATTAAACAACATCAAACAAAACTAAATGAATCTACACAAAAACAAATAAAATAAAAAGACGAATTGCTTCCTCAAATCCAAGTTGTGCCCAAAGCCCAAACCCTGCGTTTGAGCCAATTTGAGGAAGAAGTGGCACACAGTTTAAGGTATACATTGACACATAATGGTGAGTGTGCTTGACAGTGTGCGTGGCCGGCAGCTTTAGGTAGAGTTAGGGAAAAGTCTTGGCCTTCAGCGCTGTCTCGGCTAGCCTCAGGTCCAAGTCACTGTACTTGAGGTGGTCAAGCACTCCCCACCGTGTCAATGTGGCACTCTACTGAATCTTGAAATTCTAAGCCTTATATATATGTACACACTACTTCACAGGAAACTTAACGAAAGCAAATACCAAAGAGCTTAAATGCAACATGTGTTGGGCAAACATTGAGACGCCAGACTTACCATTCAGGTGTATGTGCAGTAGCATAAAGTTACATTCTTTCAACACTGGACAGGTTGCCTGCCAACAAACATAATTAAGCAAACTATGGGACGGAGAGAACCCGCCCGCCTTTTAGTTGGTCATTGTTATTCTGGTATCTCAAGAATTCTTTTCAGGCATCTTGGGGGATGTGTTACGTGACAATAGGCTGGAGTGTCTATTGGACTTGTGGGGGGTACCCCTCTGTCCTATTACGTGCCTGGCATACCAAGAACCACAAGTTGAAAAAGGTCTTACACACTAAAGAGAAAATAATGAAGTAAAACAACTTGGTGTAGTTTGGGCTATTGTCACCAAGGCTAAGACTTTCCCAGCGGTGGATAGCAACGATATGCCACGACTGTTGCCGCTTACAGTCTTGTCGCCCTTTCGTTTGTACATGTAGGCAATATTGGCATCCTTCCAGGACTGAGGCACGGCTCCGGCTTCCCAGCAAGCATTCAATAGACTATGGTGCTCAGCTACAAGGGCAGGCCACTGATACACTGGATAGGCAGCTCAGCAATAACTACCTATGTGTGAATTGAAGTGATTGCGCAGCCATCTTAGAATATTCAATACAATGACCTCCAACTTCAGCCATTAACTAAGTGCATTTATGCATGGCGCTAACGTCGGTGACTTGGAAACTGCCTCTGTATTGTATAGCCTAAGATTGTCGTGCAGTCTCTTAAACTCGCGGAGCAGAGCTGCCTATCCAGTTTATAGAGCAGTGGGGCAGGCCTACCGTATTGCAGCTCGATCGGCACTTGATCAGGTACTAGCCGGTGTTCGGTAGACGCTTCAGCTCCACGCATCACACGCGGAGACAGTCACGACGGTGAGCAGGGGTGCATCCAAGTCGTCTTATTTGGTTGTTCGGACCGTGCTCTGAACAGAGAGACAATATGCCGTTGCAATTGAGATTTCCCACTCCGGGTGCACCAAGGACACCCTCCCACACAGGGGAGTCACAGCCGACTCGAGCGCTAAAGTCATCAACGAGGACAACTTTGTCCTTGGTTTTGATGCGTCGCAGCTGCTCACCCAGTTGCTGGTAAAACCCCCAGCTCCTTCACTGCTTCCTCAGAAACAAGCATCAGGGCATAAGCGCCTAGCATTGTTAGTGAATCACCCTTAGCCAGCGGCAATCTCCAAGTCGTTCCACAAAGACGACAAACCCGTACAGGAAAAGCTTCGTACACAATGTGTGTTCAGCTTTATCCGGGCACGCTTCACTGTGTGTGCGCAGCATGCTGCTGTACAGTACGCACGGAGCTGGAGACTGGGAACCATACGACCATTTTTGTGTGCCTGCTATCGTTCTCTGTGTCGGCAGTAGTCTGGTTCATATGTTTAGCGTGTCTACAAAATATGAAAATTTCCGATTAGTCTTTGGTGTTTATTATAAGGTGTCTACCGGCGGTGGGGAAGTTGATTTCCTCTCTTCCGAAGCCAGTTTTTACCGGCCTTGAAGGCTTCAGCTACCCGTTTCATAGTATTATTCAGGTCTTTTCTGAACAGCATATCAGAGACGGGAGAATTGTGGGAGCATAGACCCCGATACATTGGTTTGAGTAACATCTTCCTTCCTCTCTTCGATTCATGCTTAGCTTGTAAGAGGCATTTCCTGCAATGGATTTGCCATGTGAGGCAAGTTCTTTTACCTTGTCGATATTCACAAGTTGTCCCGACTTAGTTGCGTTACGCAGTTCGGTAAGTATATTGCACGTCCGGCAGGAAGGGTGGCATCATGCACCAGAGATTTCAGCATGTCTTGCATGATATTTACAGAAGCTGACAACTTCTGTATACCCTCAGCATTAGCCTGCAGTTGAGGATCGAAATCTCAGTGAGAACTAGGCTTACTTTGGCCTGGTTGAAGCGACCTGGCGTTGTCTTCCTCAGAATCAGTGACCATAGGGCAATGTAGGAGCTCCGACTGTTAAACTCCTTTTTTCCGCAATGCGTGTCAATGAAGAAAAGATGCTGACTCCTTCCAACATAGGTTTACATGGCCATCCTAGACCACTTCATTTGAACCTATTGTGTGAATCGCATGCCTAACGCGTGGAAATTAAGTAATGCAAACCCTCTGAACCCTTCTCCGAAGTGTTATGTAATAAAGTTACCTAATAGTCACAAAGCTATTAGCTTCCAGTCCAGTCGCTCTTATGGTCACCTTACTGTCCACCAGGGATGAGGGTGGGGTCACGGAAAGGAGTCTATGCATGCTGGTGTACAGAGGGATCCACTGGGGCCACGGATATTCTAAGAGTAAAGAAAAAGACAATTCATTTCATTAATTAACAGTTTGGGGTCGATTTGACTCTTTCCAATGAGTCGTTTAGGCTAACCATCTCGCTAATGATTCGTCGTGTCCAGCCAAAGACAAAACTTGTAACAAATGTGGTGAAATGGGACATATTGCCGTTGTCTGTCGATCGTCTACAGTGGTTAGAAGCGGGAATCAAGACCGAAGGACTGGTAGACAAGATCACCAAATTGGAGATGACTGTGACGAAGAGGATTTCGTGCAAGTGCTGAAGATCGACGATCCTGTGCAGAGTTCTGATCCTGTACGATGCAAGGCCGTGGTAAACGGTGTACCTATTTCATTCATGGTAGAATCATGGTCTGGTGTTTCTATTTTGACACGGAAAACATTTGACGAAATTAATATTTTCTGATTGACGCATTACCATCTCCATTTGAACATCAAACGCTTTCATCATTTACGAAGCATTCAATAAAGATTTTTAGATGTTTTGAATGCATTGTCAAGTATGACAACTATGCATCTACAATGAATATGAATGTTGTCGAGCAAGGTACAGATATAATGGGAAGAGATTTGATGAAGGCATTACATATTAATATTGACGGTGGTACTTTATCATGTAACGAAGTAAGTGAACCTGTAGTTGATACGAAACAGTCAATCGAAACTGAAATTACTGCCGAATGTAGTGAGTTGTTTGATCAGTCAGAAGCGCTTCCTAGTGTCAAAGGTTTCGTTCACAAGGTTAAAGTTGATAGGAATGTGCAACCAGTAAGTCAAAAGTTACGCCGATTACCTTTGAAGTAAGGGAGGAGGTTTCTGCGAAGTTAAAGGAACTTGAAAAGCAAGGTGTTGTAGAAAGAATTGATTCATCAGAGTGGGTTTCGCCCATAGTAGTTGCATATAAAAAATCTGGAGATGTGGGAATTTGTGTAGACCTAAGACAGGTGAACAAAGCTGTTGTACCTGATAAGTATCCTTTGCCAAAAATCGATGACATACTCTGTGAATTGAGAAATTCGACTGTCTTTTCACAGCTAGATTTAACTGCTGTCTACCACCAACTAATGCTGCATGAAGAATCTAGACCACTTACTGCATTTTTGACACATGAAGGTTTATTTCAGTACAAACGAGTGTGCTTTGGTTTGTCGTCGGCTCCATCAGCATTTCAGAAAATGATGAGCATTGTACTGAATGGATTGAAAGGAATTCAGTGTTATTTGGATGATGTTATTGTGTATGGTAAAACTCGGGCAGAACATGATGAAAATTTGAAGGATGTTTGCAGAAGACTACAAAAGTATGGCATTAGACTCAACTTGGAAAAGTGTGCATTTTCTAAATCTAGCCTGAAATTTTTGGGCCATACCATTAGCGCAAAAGGTGTGCAACCAGACAATAAATTCCAAGCAATTGTCAAGGCTCAAGTTCCATTTGACAAGAAATCACTATTACCTTTCTTGGGACTTGAAAGATATTTTGCAAAATACATTCCTCAATTTGCAACTATTGGTGAACCATTAAGATCTCTGATTAAAAGCGAGACTAAATTTGCTTGGTCTGCTGTTGCTCAAGAGAGTTTTGACAAAGTAAAGTCAGAATTGAGATTGGGTACGAGTTAGAAGAACTGGTATTGTACCTACAGGTGAATTACAGTACTGTGAACCCATTCAAATTGTAAGGAAACTGAGCACTGGTACGTATCAAACAAGTAACGGGAGAAAATGGAACGTGAATAAGTTGATTTTGGCTAAGCCAACCAGTGAACCCATTAACGATCCAGTAGTTAGTGATTTTGTTCCATTTGAAGAAAGTCGGGACAAGGAAGAAAAATCAACTGATTCTCTTGATAAGAAAAACATAAAGATGTACCAGAGGTTAAGGGAAATGAACTAAGACATAGTAAGAGGGTGAAACAGTTACCTGTGTGGTCCAAGGATTATTTCATATATTAGATATGACGAAATGTTAATGTTAAAATTAATGTTG